TTTAGCACCCTGCCGAATAACTCAGAAATAAAAGCACCARGCTCCCAGATTAGTGTTTGGTAAGAGCTGAAGTGAGGCACAAGGACAGGAACCCCCTTCCATTTTGAGATGTGCTTCCCAGGCCACACTTAAGTGTCTGATATTAAAAAAAAAACCAAAAAAACAACTAAACCCAGAAGCAAAAAACACCCAGCAAGGGGGAAATCACTCTTGGTGAAGTTAAGTTTTGCAATCTCAGCTGGTTGCTGGGTTTTGGTAGCTCCAGAACTGAAGAGGCTGTGCTGGGCAGTTTCAGGTTTTGATGCAAAGGGACACTGGGGGGAAATTAAACTCAGTGTGTTCCCAAAGGAATGCCTAAAGATCTTCTACAGAAAAGCTGTATTTGTTTCTCACTTTCATTACTTACTAGCTGACAACCTTCTCATTCCATAGCTCACCTGTTCTCAGGAGTTACCTGGCCCAGGCACTGACACTTTGGTCAGGTGCTGCTGCTTCTTGCCCAGTTGYRCAAGGGSTTCATAGAAYTYCACACTGGTTTGGGTTGGAAGYTCCTCCAGTTCCACYCCCTGCCATGGGCAGGGACACCTTTCACTATTCCARTTTGSTYCAAGCCCTGGCCTTGGACACTTCCAGGGAARGGRCAGCCACAGCTGCTCTGGGCAAYRCTYGAGAAATTAGRRCYCTTTTCTTAAAATCCTGAACTGTTTGCTGTTTAAGGACTCTAAGAAACTGCCTACAATTATGAAAGGTTATAAAAACTCTTCAGYGAAATACGTACTCAGCAACTGTTCCTAATTATCAATGGAATTTCTAATGGAATTAGATTAGAGCTCTCACTGGTGAAGACAAGGCGACAGTCCTCAAGCAGTTCTAGGAAAGCATTCATCCCACAAGACTCATCAGAACAACCTCCAAAGACAACAAGCATGAGAGGAGGGACCGGGTTTTTTAAGCCCAGTTTCCCAAAGAAATGAGGTTATGTAGGGCAATTACAATCCTAAGAGGAAACCTTAAGAGGCAGCTTYGGATTCTGCAACACCATGAATTTCATAAATCCATCTCCACAGAAACAACCTTGAAATAAAACCCTTATTTCACCACCCAAAGAAACCTTTAATTAAAATTAAGAACAAGAATTGCAAAAGTCAAGCCAGAACCAAACCCCTCCACACAAACCTATGCAAAATAAATTCAGCATTAAATATTGCTTTCCAAGGAGGATGCAAATAAAATCAAGGCTCACTGAATTAAGTAAAAAAAGCTTGTGTTTAACGTGGATCCTTGCCAAACACAYCTATTCCCGTTAGATTTCTCAGCTCTGGTACTTCAGAGCTGCAGGTAAATATGATTAACTGTATTTTTACCTCAGACTTGCACAAGGGCACAGCATAAAGCACTGAATGCTGATAGATGGGTTACACTAAGATGGAAAGATTGTGCAGGGAAACAACACAGGGAGATGTTACTCAGTTTCTCCTACCACWGAAACAACTCCAGATCACATGGATGAAAAAGTAAATTGAGTGCTTGTAATCCGCAGGATGACAAAAGTTTGCTTTAGTCTTTTAAACTRCACCAAATACAGGGTAAATACAATTAAAACAGGACTCAGCATTATGGTTCTTGACACAGCAGGCTTAGGTGAGGAATAGGGCTAAGGAATACTCTGGAAAACCATTTCTCCTTTAAGCCACATGAAGCGTGCAATAAATCTTCTGTTCTGTGTTGTACATGTGGCTTTGAAATGTTTTTCAGCAAAAAGTAAACACCACTTACAAAAAAATGTAAGGGCTCTTAAGGATCCCAGCGAACTGCGATGTCCTGAGGTAGCATCCCAAAGCAACCATGACAGATGGAAAGTATTTCCTGGATTTCAGCTAACAAATCACAGASACAGTGCCCACAGCACCTCTGGATGAGGAATATACAAGTCCTGAAGCACTGAGCTCACTTGGTTTTCTACTGCCAAGTTCTACCCCTGTTGATTCAGCCCACCTGGCTGCCACAGAGCAAATCAGTAAAGCTCTATTTCTTTGCTGTATAAAAACCAGCAAATCCTACAAATTTTAGCACGATTGTTAAGTGAGTAGTCATTTAAACTWGCTCACTGCTTTAGAATTCATGGAATTTACCTGATTGACAATTAATGGCTCTGGCCATCCACATAATTACTGACAGACCAAACTTCTGTGCGAAATGCAGAGTGGTCTTAGCTCATTAATTAGTGAGAACTCCTTTAAATTCAGCAAGAAAACTCACAGCACCAAACTGCTGAGATTGTATCAGTGAGACAAGACTGAATATTGGGAAACTYCTCACTTAGTTTACACAGAGACATCAATCATGTTTTTATTCTGATTTATTGAGCTCTGTATCAAAAGAGGATGATTGCTTATCTTCCAGTGACCGTGACCCAAGTGCAGAGTGATGTGAGCACCAGGAATGACCAGCATTTGTGATGATGCTGATGACTCTGTCTGCCCGGATTTTTTATACAGCCTTCCAAAAAGTTACTAGCACCTGGCAAAGTGTGTGTGGGAGAACTGTGAGAATGACTAAAGCTACATAAAGAATCATATTTACTTAAAAAAAAAATCTGTAAAAATGACTTGGAAGTTGGAAAGAAGGAATTCAGTAATTCACAGCTCTTTCCTGGAGCTACAGGAGRTCCTGAAGGGCTGGAAGCTGAAACTACACTAAGACAGATTAATAAAGCTATTAATTATAAAACTTGAGCTCTGAATTTTCTACCATTTTACATCCTGGAAAAAGGCAGCTTTCCCCCAAGCTACAACTACATGCTCAGTTATAAACCACAGATTTAATGCAAAAATAGTGGCACCTTGCACAGGAAGGGATCATAACTGCCCCTTCCAGCTTGATCGAACATGAACATTCCCAGCACAGCTGCTTCCCAACAATCAGCAATAAGGATTTGCTAACTCTGATGTGACTTTTTCCAGGATCTGCGAGGCAGGAATCATTTGTGRTGACCTGGAACTGACCAAACCCCAGCCTCAGCTCCCAATAACCACAGGCAAGGCCTGGGATTAGCTGTTACCCTCTCAGGCAGCCAGGCTCAGCCTGGAATGTCAGCRAAGGAATGCCAGGATTTCAGATCTGAAGGGACAGCAGTGAAATCCTGAGTCATCTCCCCTAGGAGAAGCACAGGAGACAGCCCAAGGTCCKGCGGTTTGGCTGTCATCACACACTCCCACACTCCCTGGATTCCCCTGCAGGATCTGCTGGACACAGATGTTTGTGTACAGAACTATTTCTGCACATCTGTTCATATAGACAATGTACAGGCAAGCAGATCTATTACATATACACTGTTGGTATAATTCTATTACACATGGAAATGAATCTCAGAGGAAAGAAAACTAATTAGCAYTCCCACATTAATCCTATTGGGTATTGCAAATATTTTTAAGAGCCAGGGTGGGCCCACAGCAATCTCACTCCATAGCAAAATGTTTATATACAAGACATCTATGCCAGAGGGAGGCAAAAAAACCCAACTTAGGCTGCATTTGCAGCTTTTTCTCTCCTTGCATTATTTATTCTCTCCACAAAGGAATCACTGGATTTTTTTAATGTCACAAGATGCACAACAGAAAACCCAGCCCTACCTGGTGCTGTTATTATCAATGAAACACCTACACTAAGCTGAGATAAGCTCAAAAAAATTAAAATGACATAATACAAATTTTACAGATGCCTATGAGCCTGCTAAGAGTTTAATAAATAAAAAATGTTTGTTCCAAAAATATTTGTACCTATTTTGAGTGCTCACCTCTGGTTTTGAGGGAGCTSTGTCTTTTAAATCAGGGAACATTTTCCTTGCAGTGGATTCCCAAGATTTCCAGTTTCTCAATGAGGCTGAGAGGTGCAGGATAGCAATTTTAACCACCCAGGGCCGGGGGGTAGAACRGGATGGGTTTTAAGGTCCCTTCTAACCCAAATCATTCTGTGATTCCATGATACAACAAAACCACAAAAACTCCTCTCTTCCAGAGTAGGTTTCTAAATATTTTTTTCCAAATCCAGCTTGTGGTCTCATCTCAGCCCTGCAAACACTGACGAATACCAAAATAGCTACAAGATCTCATTAATCAAAAAATAGCTGGAAAGATGAACTTGCAATCCTGATATTTCCTCTTGAAAAAATGAGACAAATGAGTTGCACTACCTGACTGTATTTTTAATGAACTCTTCAAATCAACACTCACTTACCTGSAAGCTTTCTTCAACCTTAAAGGTTAACTTGGACAGAAGTGTCGGAAGAGTTTAATTAGAACAAGAGATCTTGAACATACTAAGTGTGAGCTCCATGTGCCTGAGGATTGCATCTGTATAATGTAACATGATGGAATTTTGGAGACAGACACAAAGAAGAAATTGGCACTTTCACTCACAGGTAAGCAGCACATCTCAGAGATGTTTCACCAAGCCACAAATCCAGACCACTTTTTGCTTTGCCCAGCCCACAATACACACATCAAAATTGGGATCAGTAAAAAGAAAACAAAAGTTTCCACTCCTGTCCTTTAAATTTGCCCAGATTTCTCCTGATTTATAAAAACATGCAATAAGAAAGAGCATGGAAAARGACTGAGAAAGATGAGATCTTTTCACAGGTCTTCTGAGGTAAAGGTCACTCATGTCACCGTGTCAAACCAGCTCACCATCAACTCGCTGCACAGAACATGCACAACTTGAGGGGAAATCTCAGACACAAGAAGGAAAAGATCATCTATTTTGGGGCTGTGACTGCATTATGGTCAACAATCCCAACATACAGTGACTAACACTACCATGTGGAGTTTACTTTCCCAGAGAAAGCACTTTTTGTTTGAATAACTGGTTGCTGCTACAATGAGTCACTCGACTGCCTCAAGTAGCAGCTCCAACACTCWAAAAGGACTGGCTGGGAACTGCTGAGTACAGAATGTGTATTTGTTTAGGAACAACCTGCCTTAAATAAACCACTGACTCACCTTGTCACGCAAATGATGCTCTGCAGCCTCAATATTCAAAGGATCGTCAAAATTCAAAAGATCCTGGAGAAAAAACAGAGAGAACATTGCAGGGCTCCCACTGACTGCATCACACAAGGAGCCCAAAGCCCTCCTGAAGGAGACAATGGAACAAAGCAAACAGGGCAGCAAGGGCACTGCTGTTCCCTCACTACCTCAGTGCTGTCCCTGCCAAAGGTAAATGGGTTTGATAATTGGAATCCAAATTACAGGACAATTAAATGACAACAGCACCAGGGCATTTAAGCCCTTCTGGTGCAGGCCATACATGGCCCCATGACATTTCTCCCTGAAGATGATGCTTTTCTACTGGAAAAGTTTTAAACTAAATTCTGGAGGAGCATTCAAGCTTTCAGGAGGCCCAATTCCTGTTGATTTTTGTTCAAGGGCAAAGTAAACCTTTAAAAAGCCTTCACTGCCAACAATGTGGTAATGAAGTGGGAGTTTCCTTAATGCCACCTCCATAGCAAAGCAATTTATTTTTGCCCTGTGAAGGAGCCATGTAAACCTGGAGCSTGGCAGGGAAGTTTCAGTGCCCTGGGAAAAACAGGGCCTAGAAGAAAAGGAGTGCAACAACACCAAGAACTAAGGACATGTGTGGTCAGGGAACAGAAATAGTCAAAACAAACCTCAGGTCTCTCAGTTTAATCTCAAATATTACCTTTGGAAGCAGAAAAGGACTAGGGTTAAAAACAATGAAGAATGAGAATCATCATTAAAAATAACACTGAAGCACAAGGCCCCTGTTCTGGCTGCAGCCCAGATCCTTTCCCCAGTCTAGGATCAGCCTGTGACAAAATGAAATAGCACTGTCCCACAAGTGTGAAAGGCTCCTGGCAATCCCTCMCTCATCTTCAAACAATCAACATTTCACTTGAATCAGGACCCCAACCCACCTCATTTTCACTCACTTTCTTCAATAAAACCCCTTATGAATCTGCCAGACCAGTGTGATCCCAGTGCGGCTTTTCAAAGCCTAATTAATAGTAAGAAGGTGGGTGTGGGGAAAATTCAGGAAGGAAGCACAGCTCTTACCAGCCATGATAAATCCCTGTGGCCTCCTATGAAAGACCACCCCTCTCCACACCTCTTTGCCCAATATTTTTAGGTGCAGCTCTGCCCCYGAAGGCCCCTCTTTGTACCCCCAGAGGGTTTTACTTCCTTCCAGTTACCTGACATGCACTGGGAGACTGACTGCAAAATGCAATTGTCTTGTCTTGGAAAAGCAAATGCTCTCCACTTTTTAACCGATTTGTCAAAAGAGTTGTTGAGAAAACAAATCAAGCCTCTGGATGCCAGGAAATCCAAGCCTCCTCCTACACCCTGGAGTGGCTGGGGGAGCTCTCTCCAGAGGGGACCATAAATGTGGCCAACAAGTGCTGCTTTTTGCTTTCTCTTGATCTTCCTACCCAGCAGCAACGGCTGTGGAAAGAAGTCCCTAAAAAAGGTAATTTTTGTAAAGACTTCGCCTCTCTCCACTTTCAGGGCAAAAGCAGCTGTTGCATCCTGCCTGCCTCTTGCAGCTTCCTGCCCTCTCCTCCATTTCCAAGGGGCTTCGCAATTACAGGTTCCTTGCTCCCATCAATATTAAAAAAGGGGAGGAGATGGGATGCCTAAAAATAACAAAATAATATATAATAATAATAATAAAATAATACAAATAACATAATTTCCATGAYAAGTCAGGTTTTATGTAAACTCTGTGGATGGGCACCAAGGCTCCTGAATAGCAATGGAAGTGATCAAAATGGGAATGAGACTGCAGGGCAGTCATCAATTCCTAAATAGCATTTTTTAAAAGACCAACACCAACACTTATCCTTGTCAGTGCAGTATGAATTTCCATTTCATGCAAATTAGCAGCAGGAATTTCATACTGTGTGGAAGATCCCAAACAATTTGTTATCAAAATATCTTCTAATATTTCTAACCAAAGTAAAATCCATGTACAAAAGCTGTCATTTCAGACAGTCTGGATGAGTTACASAAACAAAAGCACAAACTGATACCATATTTATCTAACACCCACTGAAGCCAAAGGAAATAATGACCTAAAATTTTAGAGGCAACACACAAAATAGACATTAGGTGATGCTGAAACTAAACCACKCAAGAAAAAGGAAAGTGGACATGAAAAATATTCCTTTACTTACAGTAAATAAAGAGTTTAACCCCCAGACAATATCCTGCAAAAGGAAGAACACAGTTAGTTATTAAACATGCATTTCAGGAGTTTTGAACATGATCACAAATTTTATTTTTCTATAATCCATGAAAGAACTGGCAAAAAAATCTAGATTAAGAGTGATGTACTGACTTAAATCAAAATGTTGAAAAGGCTTTCCCATTTCACGGCCACTTGATATTTAGAAGTCAGCAAAAAACGCAATACTACATATTCAAAAYAGAAGAGCAGATCTTTCTGTGTGCACAAGAACCTTATTCCTGTGGCTTCTCCACTCCTCCTCAARGACAGGAATGATACCTTAGGATATGCCACCAACTGAAAACTCCACTACTTAATTTGAAGGGTGGGTATAGAACTTAATTCAGCAATCTATTCTTAAAATTAAAAAGGGATCAGACAAATACTTGAGACTGTCAAAATATCAGAGAAAAGAGAATGAGGTGTAGAATGAGTACAGAGAAATACTGTTCTTATATAAGCATATGTCTCAAGTCATTCCATGGCTAAAATACACCTTTGACAATAAAGTTAAAGCCTCAGAATAGAAAGTTCCAATGCATAGCAAATACCTTCAATAAATGAGTGTATTTGAGCTTGTTTCCTGTTCTGGGCCCTGTGCTGACAGTGTGGACCACAGAAATCCATATCCCTTAAGGACACTGTCCAATTATGCCCTAATGAACAAGACACGATGTCAGCACTATGCAGCCAACAGCCTCTCACGATCCAATTTCCCTTTGATCCTGCAGAAACAACCCACTCAGTTTATCTGCATTGAAAACATGAGTCTGCCCAGCAGGGCTGGCACTGTCAGTGTTTCCAGCCTCAGCACCTCCTCAAGTGTGGCAAAGACAGCAACTTTCAAATGAACTCATCACTTTCAGGGGCAGCCCAGACACAAGAACTGCACAAAAGGGATGACCCAGACATTTAATTACAGTTATCTGTGAATTTTAAGACTCTAGTGCTGAGCAGTCCTCCTCACTCCCAAACAACCACTCTGTCAGTTCCCTGGCAAGTAGGAGAAATTTTGGAGGAGACTATTTCAAATAATGGATGGAAATCATTATTTTATCCTTTATTTAAGCTCTGTGCTTGTTCAACTGCTGGCACAGAAACCAGGCATTAGCAGAGGTTAGCAGAGCATGGTATAGAGGAAACGTGTATTAATCCTAGGCTAAATGAGTAGTACAATGTAGTGATGTGCCAGAGTCACAGATTAAAGGAAGACTTAATGGCATGGGGAGCCTGGAGAGTAGCAAAAGGCAGGAAGGTCTCAGTTTCCACTTCATTCTCCCATGTCCAGGCTCAGCAGCTCTGGGCACCCCCTCTGCCCCACCAGATGCTCAGCCCCCAAAGATCAGGAGCCCCTTCCCCTGCTGCCCTCAAGGCTGTATTGTCCTTCAGGGAGGCAGAATTACAGGAATAAATGAGTTTCAGAAGTTGCCTTCCATCTACACCATGAGCCAGCAGGCTGCAGCAGGTAATGTCATGCAGAACCACAACACTGAGCATTAAGGCCATCCTGAAAAGGTGCAAGGTCACAGGAGTACTCTGGGATCTAGCCATTTCTAAACCCTGAATGCCAAACCACCATTCCCAGGGTTACAAACTGCCCACAGCTGTTCAAGCACCCCTATGGCTAAAAAGGAACAAACCAGGAGCAACTCAGTCACTGAGATGATTCTGAAATCRTCAAGAGCTCAGCTTCCCCTTGCACTGAGCAGTGCAGAACCCCTGGTCTTCCAGAATCTCCCCACAGACACCTGCAGAGTTCTCTCCAGACAAAACTCCTGCTCCAACTCCTCATAAAAGTAAATGCTGCAGCTCAAAGCAGAGATGTGATGTCATATTTTCCCATTACATAATAAATTGCTCACAAATTCTTATCTGTAAAACCCTAAGGCTTTAAGGCTTTGGCGTGCTTGGCTCATTCAGGCTGGTTATACAGAGTTCTATTAAAAAAAAAAAAGAYACCAAATAAAAAAAGCCAAGAAAAACCTCTGTAAAGGCACAAGTTATCAGGATGCTGTACATTTTCACTGCCATTCCAGACACCAAGAAGCATAACAGGATCATTATTATTATTATTACTAAATAATTTACCTTTGAAGTTCTTAATTCCGTTTCTGATGTTTCCATCTTTTCAAGTTTTATGATTTGCTGGATTCATTTTACACCCTTGCATAGGTCCATAAAAAATAATGTTACATTACTACCAGAGGGTAACACTTTTTGTAATGAGCTTGAGGTTAGCTTGGATTTAAATCCAGGATATTGAGAAAGGGAAGTGGGACGGAACAGATGAGAAAGCAAGTATCTGATACTTGGAAAACACGACACTGTTGAATTGCAGAARTAATACTTTGCATTACTGGCTTCAGCAGAGCTGCTGGCTGCATGCAGATAAGTACTGGCCTGGGTGCTTGTTTTGGGTTTTCCTGGGGAACTAAAAGAATGTGCAAGGCACTGAGGATCGTGTCATATTTAACAGCCCAGAAACTTCTATTCTCCTTCAGTGTAATAAAGCATCAGGTTTRGCTTCAAACATTTACTGAACTTGTGGCTTAAATACTCTGAAAATAAAGTCAAGCCTATGTATAGGAATTTTACAGGTTATCTTCCTAGGTAGGAGCAGGTGGCAACTTAAAATGTTAACAGTGCACACCTTGATGGTGCTGCACTTCAGTAAGAACCTCCTTGTACAAGATCAGACATTTACGCCTGACAAGGTAACACCTGGCAAGGCTGTTTCCTTTACAAAGCTGCTTTTTATGGACTTTCTTCCCTGTTTAACATCAAAGTTACAGAGGACAAGTGCACCACTGCTGAGGGGAAGCAAGAGAGCAAAGCTGAAAACCTCTGCTTTTGTACCAAACCTGCTTTTTGTACCTGCCCAGACTGGACCTGCAGCTGGAGCTGCCAAATTCCTCGAGCTGCTTTATCTGGCTCCCGCTGCAGCCATGCCCAGCTGCTCCCTGTGTGGTATCCCAGAGGTTTCCCATCGGTTCAGATGTCACCCATGGGTCAGATGCCTTTGGGAGTCYAAGGCAGCTCTTGGATAAGAAAGCGGGTTTAATTCACACCTACTTTTTAGTTCAGAGTATGTAATGATGGTACTGGAAATCAAGAGCCAGGGTTCTCAAGCAGAGCAGTACCTGGCTAAATCCACAGTGGCTAAGGGGAAGAGGGAATACTGAGGGAAGCACTGCTCCATGGCATTGTCACCATTTCGGGCTCGAGCAAGGGGAAGTCAACACAGGCAAGTCAGAAGATCAACAGACTGTTGTAAACAACCCCTTTATAATCGTCCCTTTTCATTCTGGACTATTTCTGTGCTGCATCTGAGTGAAAAGTTACACTAAACCCCTGCCCACAGATTTATTTATGGCATGCCAAATGAGGAGAAAAAACCTGCTGCTGCTGCAGTGTTTAAAGTTCAAGAGCAGTGACTCAAAATCCTCAATGCGGCTTTTGAAACAGCCTCTCCTAAGGTCAGGGAGTCTCAAAGCTTTGTAGGAGGTCCTCACTCAGTCACTGATCTTGCCTAGTGACAGTTCTCACCACCACTTCCCAAATAATGCCACTGAAACCATGTCACAGACAAGGGGTTCAGAAACACAACCACAAGTGCTTCCAAAGAAAGGGCAAACACAGAAATTGCAAATTAAGATTTGCCTTTAACAGGCAAAGTATATTTAATACGTTAATTTAAGAAGAGAGCATAGCAGACAAAAACACAAAGCAAACTTCCAATCAAAGAAGTTCCTTTAAGAGATCCAAGGAGCATTTCTGATCTGACAGACTGATTCAATCAAAGCTCATTGCTAAACCATTTTTTATAAACAATTTAACCCAGTCAGGTGAACAAAAGGAGCAGCAACCATTTATACAAGCATGTCTGAAGCAAATTTTTTTTATTTGTTTGGAAATGGGCTTGAAATGACACTCCAAAGCTCAGCTTGCTCTAAGTCAGGCCATGCATGGCTGTGCCTTGGAGCAGTTCTCTGCTGTCCTGACACAACCTCAAGGTGTTTTTCCTCTTCCATTTACCTTCCTCCATCATCTCTTAAAAACATGCCCAGCTTTTTCCTCTCTGCAGCCTAAAAAGTCAAGCACTCTTCATCCCACCCCACTAAATTTATCATTAATCCTGGAGTTAAACGAAAAAATGTTTCCCTTCCAGAGATGCCAGATTTTTAGCTTATGAAAAAGCTTCTTCCCCCTAAACTGTCTTCTCCCAAATAAAATTTCCTTTCGCATTTCCTCTCCTGCTCCCCTCTAATCTTGCAAACTTGAAAAACACCATTTCCACCTAGAATGAGGAGATGAAGGGAACATCACCTTTCTTTAGTCACCCACTAAGGCCATCTCAATTGTCATGTGCCTGYCATCCCTGCCCATGCTTCCCACCCAAACACAACAGCAGCCTCCTACAGGGCTTTGGGTAACTTAAAAGGGATAAACTGCTCCAGTTAGCAAACACAAAACAAGGAGGAAGGCTGGAAAACCATTTCTTTTGTACTTAAACATAGGAGAAGGAAGAAAACAGGAACAATTCCAGTCTGTTCCTCTCCCAGACCATGCCAKCTATGAATTGCCAAGTATGCAACTTGTTAACTGACTCCTTGACGTTTGTCCCCGTGGTTCCTTCAGGGCAAGGGGATAATCCTGTGCGAATTGTTCCCTGGGGAGCTCTCTGATAGCATCTTAATGAACTACACCGCAGAGATTAGAACACTAAAGCCATCACCCTCTGGAGACCAGTCAGCGCAGTGATTAAAGCTGACACAAACTACATATTCAGAAAACAACAATTTGGGGAGAGCAAGCATGGTGTAATTAGACTTATTGAGGTATCTCAGCTCTCCCGACACACATGCTCATAATAGCAGCTACTGTGCCTAAACCAAAGATTTGACTTTGCCAGGGGACATTATAGAGAGAAGACAAAAAATTTTGCTAATCTTTTATGAAACAAAAGCTATTAGAAGATATTGAGTTGTGTATTTTCACCAGCCTGGGCATGTATGGAGGGGACAAAAATGAATCACTTCTTACAAAACTGCTAACGCCAATTTATCAAGTCAAAATACAACACAATACATCCTGGGAGAAAAATTCCATGAAGCTTATTTTAAGAAAAAACTGAATGTCAGATCTACACACAAGATTGTTTTCAGTGGTTTATAGCTTCTCTTTCCAAATACMAGGTCTGAAGTTTTTTTTGTCTAGGGCTTATTCAGTTTTTAGAGCTGGGGAAGACAGATAAAAAGACCAACTCCAGAACATGATTTGAATAAATCAACAGCTGTACAATGTTGGCATAATGGTGAGAAAAACAGCCTGAGCAACAAGAATTAATGTAACATAAAACATACAGGTTTCTTTTTTTCCTTCATCCTCAAGACAGTGACAGTTATTTTATTGTCTGTTTAAAATACTCCTCTACACTAATTAGATGATTTTGACAGCAGACCGTCTATTTTCCTTAAGATGATGGATGAAAGTTTTTACTTTCAAAACTCCTCAGGTTGATGCTTAAACACTGAGGTAAACTGGAAAAATTAAGTCACAAGTTTCTGATTTATGTTTCCAAGAGATTAGTTTGACATTTGGATGATTTCAAATGAAGTTATTCCACTGCCTCAGGACAACAGCAGAACTAGTGCACCAAACAGGACAAAATTTTGCCATTTAGTATTAAAACACTAATTAAATAAGCAAGGCTCTTAGGGACCAACTCCAAATAGCAATAGTTTACTGGAAACGAGTCTTAATTCCTTTTAGATCAGATAATCTAATAGCACAGACAGATATTTATTAAGCTGGTATCTGAAGTTATGGAAGAGGAATTGATGAAAAAAACAGTGGTTTCCTGTATGTGGGCATGAAAAGTTACCACCAGATCTGTAGTTTAAGGCTACCTTGATGTTTCCCATTCCTGTTCCTGTCTCTCTTGACAGCACCAACACAAGAATGACAAAACCCAGCTCTTCAAACTATCTCAGTGAAAAATTGAAATGCATATACACRTAATAAAACATGGAAACCCTCCAGAAAACAGTCCAGTTATCTGAAACCAGCTGGATCTCTATCAGACCACAGCTACAGAAAGAAGAAAATGCACCAATATTCCCTGTGAACATTTATCATACATTTTTAAGCACTGGTTTTACAGCTCCTATGCTCAGCCCTCCACAGAGTTGCCCAAGTGTGCTTTGATTATTTTTAAGGTTCATCAATCAGCCACTGATTTATGAACCAATTTCCAGTTGTAGTTGGTTAGAGGTAACTGCAGACGGAGCCTGACTTTCAGAACCAACGAGGCAATCAAAATACAGATCCACTTGTGCAGTTTTTAAACTCAATCATCTGAGATGTTTTTACAGCATGCAAACAAGCATTTAGGACAAAGCTGAGGAATATTAAGGAAACCTAATTTAGCTAGGCAGGTGATAATCCTGGCAAATAAGGGAGAAGGAAGTGCATGTTGAGGACTAACAGGAGCTACTAAAGCACATTTGAGTTTGAAATTACTAAAGGGGAAGAAGCAGCGTAACAGTAATAGCGTTAAATCAGATGAGGTATTTAAAAGCTGMTATTTCCAGTGACAGAAAAAACTGAGAACAGAAGGAATTAAAGCCATTTATTTGCTTTCAGCCTGAAAAAAACTTCCATTTTGACCATCACACCTAAAACCAAGAGAAAATCTAGTTCAGACACTCTGAACGGGGCTCAAAGTAACTGCAGAAGTCTCCAGCTTTATGAATAATCTGTTTTAGAGAGTAAAGTATGCAATAAAATGATGCAGAACATAACAGACTGGAGACAGAAAAGTAAATTTAGCTCTAATGGAGCAAAAGATGACAGAAARAAACAGATAATTTCTGGTAGTGGTTTGGTCCCCAAGCTATGAGCTATGTGAAAGCTGCAGTGCTTTCTAAGTGTTTCGGATTCTGGAATGTTTCTATGAATAAAAAGCAAAGTGATTTTAAAAGTGTATATATAGACAGGTCTGCAGGTTAATGTTTTAAATCTGTTTCAGGGTAAAACAGGTAAAGCCCAACTCTCCTCAGAACCTGATTTCAAAGAAGCACCTAATGCAGGAATTCAGAAATAGCACATTCTTTAGTGCCTTCACTCACACACAGGCTGCTCTCCACAGCAGTCCATGGAAACGTGTTCCCAAACACAAAGGAGGGAAAAAAAGATAAAGCTCAACACTTGGTAACCTGAAGAGAATTCAATCATGGATGAGATGACACCAAGTGCAAAAATGTTAGAAAACAAAACAGTTAGCTCTTCTCCCCTTAAGAATTCTCTGCACTGCTAAAAGTATATGTAATCAGATAATTTTGACAGATAAAAATGAAAGTCYGCTAAATTATTTCAGAAAGTTTCTTCATATTTCTACCCATTTGATAAAAAAAAATATTTAAAGGTCACAGCAGTTTATTTTGAAGGATTTTTCACGTAAGAGCTCTGCTGCCACCACAAGGATTCAAAAATGAGCCACAATCCAAATCTTCAGCCTTCTGAAGGGTTAACACAAAAGCTCTATGCATGGCAGCTGCAYTCAGAGCTGGTTTGTGTATGGGGCTTCTCATGCATATTCTTATTTGAATGGTTTTTCTAATGCCCTCAGAATGGAACCATAGAAAAAGTTCCCAGCTTTTGGGTTCCTTGTCCACTTGTACTAATWTTTTAATGGCTGAAGTTTAAGATTTGTCCAAAAACTTTCTCTGGGAACGAAATACAGGGACAGGAACAGAGTTAGTTAACTTAGTAAATTACTCAGTGCCTTGATTTAACCTAAGATGAAATCAGAAACCCAGAGGGCAAAACCAAATCACACCAGTCGATGAAAAACAAMAGGGAAAGATGGTTTACTAAAATCTAAACACACTCATTCTACTTACAAAAAGTCAGATGTTCATTTCAGAACAGATTTTACAGATGAAGAAAATCATAGATCCCATTTATAGTGCCAAAAAGCAAACCAAGTATCAGATAAAGGTCTTTTTCAATTTGGTTTTTGAAAGAGACAAACACCTGGTGTGCACCCTTTATCCACCTAATGTTATTAAAAGCTCTGGAAAAAACAATTCTGGCAGCATTCCTGGGAACAGCAATAGGAAGATTAATTCCTGCTCAGTGTTCTGCATTGATTTGTCAGTGATATCAATCCCTTGGAAATTACCAGGGTTATGGATTGCTGTTGGTGCTGCTCATAGGATACYCTTGTGTTTGCTGCCTGTGTACAAACCAGCACACCTTACTGAGTGTGGATTCAGAACCATCCGTAGCCACACCAACCTACAAAATCTTACATCAGAGCAGGATTTGTGCAGTCACACCAAAACTGCATTCTACAARACATTTCAACAACCGGCATTATGTTTGTTCTACTTTGGACACCAACACTTGCTGAAAAGACAAAAACACTCAGCTGTTCCTAGAGCAACCCACATTAGCTGTTTCTTTTCAAGGCCATGAAAGGATTTTTGAAGATTTAGTTTGATCTACAAATCCAAGAGGAAACAGTACCTTTAAYGTTCTAGTTGGAGCCCAGCCAGTGCCATCAATTGAGTGTTCTCTCAATAAACTGGAAAAGAAAGACACATATATTATACAGAGCAACTTGTGCTTAAACTGCCTCTGTCAGAAACCTGCTCAGAAAACATTAGGAAGTAATTGCAAGATATGATCTAATTCTTGCACTATATATATCCAGGTAATGGAATTTTAAACCCCAGGAGCTGAGATGCCTGCCTAAAATTACCTTCTACACGGCGTCATTACAGAACTCCCCATCTGAGCTCAACCTTTGTCAAAACACCGGAATTATTTTTCTCAAGCAGAGCAAGAGTGACAGAAACTCTTGTGACAGTCTCAACATTGAACCTTTTTCTTTAACCACCTGATGCATTTTAGAAYGTGGTAATCTCTGGTGAAGAGACGGGCTTGCAAGGTGACCCACCCCTCACCAAAATAGACACAAACCAATCCAAAGAAAGGATAGTTTGGGGAGGGATATCTAATTAGCAAAGAGAGAATCATCATCCTCTCCTCTGTGAAAGGATTTCAACTTCTTCAGGCAAAGATATGAAAGTGAAACAGTTTTAGTCTGTCTGCTCAGGAGGAAAAACTTGCTTATAAACTGTAACTTCAATTTTAATATAAGCACATAGGAATATTAATATATAAAATACAGACTTTCCCATATGCACACATTGAGTACAGAAATTTTATATGACCAGCATATTATACTACATATTAATCCCAGGGAAGCTGCTGACCTCTTTGCAAGTTGAAACCATTGAAGTGCATTCAGCTSTTCAGGCATTTCTGGACCTTTCAGATTCAAATATCAGCAGTTATGAGGAGATATACTGGGGATCAGAGTATAATTGATAAATAAGCTGAAATCTTGTGCAGGAAAGCAATAATCTGAATTAAAAAGTCCAGGAAAYTCCTTGAAGCATCATTTCACAATCACCTCTTCCTCTGTAAGTAGTAATCAAAACTGACAACRCACACAGCAAAGTAGCAAAATACAAAAATTCACCTCCAGCAGCAGCTTCTGCTACTGAAATGTCAGGGGCTGAAGTGAAATAGTCTTAAACTATTAGGTTTTAGCAATTTTTAGGGTGACATGCATTAAATAATTTTTAAATTACAATAGGTGACTAGAACATACAGGCTGTCCATGTAGTTATTTAATGAACATACAGAATTTTTAATCCAAGAAAATATACTCCTTGTTCAGTGTACAGATTCGTAGGATCAGGATGATCACCMTGGACAAGCCCATTCCACCTTAACTGTGCTACTGAACTCATTCCTGTGCCTTTAACATTAAAAACAATGTCTTGTGGCTGCAGTTTGTGTCAATATAACAAAAGTAGAAGCAAAATAAACTTGCTTTTTGTCTGTTCCTTATAAAACTATGGCAGTAGTCCCCTTTGCCTCTCCATACACCTCACTGTGAAATTTCAAGTGAGGAGAAAGTTAACACGCAAAAGAAAATTAAAAAAAATATTCAGTCACAGAGCACTTGAGCATCAGCTAAGCCTCATGAACTCCCCTGCAACCTCTCAAGGGCCAAGCTCTCCTGGCACATCTCTGGCAGTGGGGACACCACAGCCAGAACTGGAGGAGACACTTGTAGCTCAAAGAGCACTCCAGCAGGAAAACAGGGAAGACAGGCAAGTGTCCCCTGGCTTAATATTCCTTATTTGCTGAGAGAATTTTAGAGCAGCATCCTTCTACCTASAGATTGGGAATGACCATTAGGCTCCTAATCAGAACTTTTTCCCATATCTATGGAGACTCCCAGACCACGATTTCAAATCCTTGTATCTGGGCTCCTATGGGCAGTCTGAAAAACCACTGTTCTGGAAGTTATAATAACCAAAACAGCACTGATGTGACCAGTCAGCTGCTCAGCTTTAATTTCAACAAATATCTATCTTCTCATTCTGTGAGTTATTCCTGCATGGAAAAAAGCTTTGAGGATATTTTTTCTTTTTAAATACACACATCCTTTCAAATACAGAGATCTTTCAAACACATCTACTGAAGTGGGAACTGCATGGTTCCAGTAAGTGTGAAAGCTTCTGACACTCCAGCTGACCCAATTTGCAGTTTAAGTGACTAAAATTCACTGTCAGGGAAAGATGAGTCCTGAAGAAACTTCCATTTTTTAATAKCCACATGCAGTGGAGGCAATATCCAGTTTGGGCCAGTCCTAATTATCAGGATTCATTAATAACATGGTCCAGAGTAACTRCAATCATAAAGCACAGGGAAACAACACTTCTCCTCCCCAGAACTGTTATACTCAACCACARGTTTAACCATTTAGTATGTTTTAATTCAGGGATGATTATCAAACCAACACATACCACAGCATGAAGTATGTGGAGAAGAAATACTGATGAAGATGTTTTTTCTGYTTTTAAAAATAATGGAAGCTATTTTAATGTGAAGATTCTTGTGTAAGTTGATTGCAGGTACTATACATAGAATGCCTGTTTTAGTTTTTCCATCTAATGCCAGACATTTCAAAGGTTGGATATGTTACGGTATCTGACAATCCAAGCTGATGTTTCAGTGGGGATGCTGAAAAAACACCTTCACTTCATTACAATTACGATGCTCCAAACACCACATTCATCTTTTATCATTAAAACCGTTTAGAGAGATGAAAAAGTTACGGCTGCCTTATCCCTGGAAGTGTTCAAGACCAGTGGATATGTTGCCTTGGAGCAACTGGGCTTGGAGTAACTGGGTTTAGTGGAAGGTGCCCCTGCCCATGACAGCGGGATCGGTTTTAAGATTCTTTTCCAACCCAATCCATTTTGGCATTTTACGAATGTGAGGCTTTATTTCATCACAGAAAATGCTGTAGTGTAGCTGGAACTTCAGCTTTGCTTTGGTGTCTGGTATTTGTTGTCCCTGGTTCAAGCAGCTCACTTGCTCATTTCCCTTACTTGCACTCAGAACATCTAAGTCTTCTCAAGGCTGATGAGCCTGACATGCCTATGAAAGCCAATTAAAAACTTAATTTTCACCAGAGCCTTCAAAACAACTCAAATGATTTTTCAATCTAAAGGAAAAATTCAGCTTCTCTTTAAGCACTGATTTGCTACACATGGTGACAACCATGCTGGATTTTCCAGACAGCTTTCAATCTCARAAGCTTTGCTTCTGCTTCATCTGCYTTTTCTTTTCTGTGCCATTAACTTGAAAAATGACAGGCAGACTTCTCACTTCTGTTTATGTTTGGTTTCTGGCCAATTTCACCATCAGGTACACGGGATGAAATTGCCAAGTTTCATAAACTTATTTYGAAGAGGAAACATTTACAATCAAGGAAAACCACACAGTAACAGAAGCCTCTCACTCAGGGAAAGTAAAACTTTCAGGTTTATTTTGAGCCCAACCCTGCTTTGTTATAACTGGCACATATGTGGATATTAAATACTATAATAAATAGCAAACAAAGAATAATTACTGTTTAAGGAACACTTTTTCCCTTCCTTTTTGAAACAGAAAGGATTTTCAAGCACTTAACWCTCTTGGGCATTAAGTGGTAAAGCCTCAAAGTCACCTCAGGGCCTGAGGACTATCCGGTTATAAGGCAAAGGGGAAAAAAAACCCAACTATGTTTTGTTTAGGTTGGAATTCACATTTTTATCCCAAGTAGAACAACATACTAAGTCTGACCCTGAAAAGCCAGGCTCTGCACAGTCCCTAAAGCACAGCAGGAATGAGACTTCCAGCAGTTTCCATATTCCTAAAATTTATATGCAGAATCAGCAGAAAAAAATGCTGTGACGACAGTTACAATATTTTACAATATAGTTGTAAAATATTTGACAGTTACAATATACAATATTTTAATCAAACAGATAAACCTTCAAAGTTAAAAAAACCCAACAGAATGCTGTTCCTACCTTAGGCAGATTTCTCCTGTCTCTGTAATGTTTGGGTGCCAGATTCTTGTCAAACATCTCACCTTTGGAGGCTGTCAGGAGAAAAACAAATTACAGAGTTATCCTTTAAAGTAAAACCTTGTTAGAACTCATAAACCAGAAAAAGGCAATTATATTTGATATTCACAGCCTAGGTTTGTATGTTGAAGGCAACAATACATAATCTACAGGCGTTAAACCAGRTTTCTCTGCCCTTTAAGCTTTTTTCAACTCTTTCTAAAAACTGGGTTGGCATTAGGCTTTTCCGTAGAAAAACATAACTTTTAAGAAAGCCAAGAAAATTTACTCCTCCATGGGAAAGAAAACCCTCTATGTCATTCAGTTTCTTCACACTTAATCACTAAGACAATAACTTAAACCAAAAAAATGAAGGGTTTTACAGCAAGGCTTGTCCAAATCAGGAATTTGTTAAAAAATAGCAGAGGATGCAAAGATAAGGACTACATCAAATAAATAACTTCTTTTAAATACAGACCTCCTGTTTACAATTGAACAGGAATGCTTCAGAGCTGAGTTTGAGACACTAAAATCAAAAGTCATAGGTAAGATCACCAAATTTCTGAATTTCACAGTGGGTTTTGAAATACTGATTTTTGGAGTACAGTTTCATTTGCTCTAGTTTTGTGAAATAATAAAATAAATACAGAGTAAATAAAGAGTGAGACATAAAAATTTCAGTAGCTTAGCAACAGCACGTTGTTCCATCCCTGCTCTCCCCATTAGGATCTGCAGCTTTCAATCAGGGAGATTATTTCTGATAGGAAGTGTCCTGGAATCYATCAGCACCTTGCATAACTACAATTAAACCACAGATTACAGATGTGGAGCCAYCTCCCTCCACTTTTTTCAATGAGGTCTTCAGTCAAAACAGCTCAAAGAGCTGTATTTGCATGGCAGCATCATGTGTTTTGTCTCATCATTTTGTTCTCAACTTCACAATTAAATTTTAAAGAAATTTTTTTAAGACTACTTGGAAAAGGTAAGACAATATGCATGGCACTGAGATACCAAAAACATATCTAAGAGAGATGTTCTAGAAGAAGGAACACTGATTACCAAAACAAATCTGGGATTGATAATGCAGATTTTGCCTTTCCTTCACTCTAACTTCATGCCTGTGCAATAACTCAAGGGACAGCACTCATGGCATTATTGAAAATTAAGAAGCATGGAAAAAAGAGTCTCAAGCTTTTTAATCTTCAAAACATCTTAGAAATCTTCTAACAGCACAGCTTCTATCTTCACACTGTTTTGAAAGATGAAAAATTGAAATTATGAAGTTCTCAAGCAAGGGAAAGCAGTAGAATTCATTCCATGCCATAAGACCAAGATAAAAGAGTAAATTTCTACCATATTTCATATGCACCTTCAAACAGGGAATGTATCGATAAGCCAAAAAAAGCTTTACAGAAACCCTTTTAAAAAATCCCCAAATCTTCAGTCAGAGTGAATTAACTGGTGTCTCATTTTTGGTACTGTGCAAACAAAAGAATTCCTTTATCCTTTTCAAATGATTTTCATTGCTGAAACTCAGRAAAACCCACTCCTGACAGTAAAACAAAGGTTCTTTCTCTTTCCTTTTCCCCTGATAGACAGACAAACTGCAGCACTACCATAAAATTCATCTTGAGACAAAACTTCRAGTTTGTTCCAAGTCATCTTTGAACYCTCCCCAGACCAACAAATCAAATGAGATTTCCTCAGGATGATGTTTCACTAGAACACCTGCGACACTCTACACAACATAACTCCCAAAATCCATTTATTTCCTTGCTCAAGCCCTTCCTTCCCCTTAGACATCACAGGTAAATACAACCTCAGCTGGGGAGCACAGCAGTGACCTCATTCACTCCCTTCTCAGTTTCCAACAAGTCTTCTCTTCTGGGATCCCTCATTTAAAATTAACAGTTTCAGTTCTTGATTATTTGGCACTCTAAAAAGACAGGTATAGTAATAGGTCTTGTAGTTTTTAAAAATTATTAATTATTTACATATTTAATTTGAGAAGTATAGCTGAAGTATAGCTACAGCTGTAGCTGTAGCTCTTCACTAGTGAAGAACTTTACCTAGAGAAGGGGTATAGYTCCTAAGAGAAGTCTGGAATCAATGTTATTTGAAATGTTTTCTCTAAACACTRTCTAGTCCCAGGGCATTTTGCTAAACCACAATGCACCCCTGCTCTTTTCTCTACAATTTCYACAAAACATAATTCCCCCAGGAGGCTTTGGAAATACAGGACCCCAGGACTGAACTACAGTCCGGCCCTGAGATATTTCTTGTCACCTTCCATCACCAGTTTCTGAAGAACTTCTTGAGACTGGCTGACACTAAACACGAAACAGAGCTAAGCAGAGTGGTTTGGCTACAGGCCACAATACAAAATCTTCCAAATTTTTCCTCTTTATTAAAATATTGCATGCTCCTCTACTAATGCTCTTCAGCTATGTCACAATTTCACATATCCACTTCTTTTCCCAGGGGAGATGTGTGATATCCCAACCTTGCCTGTGGGCTGAGAGAGCCCTGGCAGGTCTGCAGAGCTCTCCTGAAAACAGGCATCACTTGTTTCAGTCTCATTCTGCCTGGCAGGAAACAAATCACAGCCTCAGCATAATTAATGTGAGCACACCACAATAACCAGCATTAATAACCTGACCACAATCCAAAATTCAACCTCCTGCATTTTTCCCTAAATTGCACAAATAAAAACTTTTTATTTTAGTATTGGATGAGAGGTGCTCGAATTTTAAAATATTTAATTAACATTTGCTGCAGATTTTTCTGCCAGTGCTGAGCAGGCAACCATAACAAACCACAGACTTTTTAATTATAGGAACTGAGAATCAAAACAATCAGATCAAAATTGAACTTCAGCTCCTGTTAACACATAGCAGCACCGTTATTTAGGTGAACAACTGGAACACAAAAATTGAAGGAAATAAAATGAGTACACAAAAATTGGTAAGGGTGACCTCTGTTTTAGTATGGAATTCTTTGGTAAAGAATTGGGGAACTTAAAGCATCCCACAACCAAACCCACACAACTTCACACATTACCTAGCTGTGACTGCAACTACCACATAGAGATAATGCTGAATTCAGGCTCAGTGCAGCTGAACAGGAGCCAAAGTGCTTCCTTCAAACATTTCTTTAGGATCCTCCCCTATACATTCTTCAACCTCTCTAGGAAGAACTCTGAACTTAACAACATCAAAAATAAGACAACAAAGCAGAGTGACGGTGGCAAAATTACAAAACTATCAACCTCTGCCTTTTGGTTCACTTATTTCATTCTCAGATATATAATTTTTTAATAAGAATGATCATTAAGTGCTGGTCTCATAAATAATTAACAGGAGAGAGCAGAACCTCAACCTGAAGGGAGGACACTCAGGTCTGACTCATCAGCACTTCCAAGAGCTTCTGCCTGACAGTTGCAGAGATTCRTTTTACCAACAGATAGAAGACCCTTTCCTAGTCTCAGTGCCAAGTTCCCTCTGAAGTCCTGTTACCTGCAAAGAAAATCTAAAATGAYGACTATTAGACAAATGAAAAATACTCACCACCATATTGTAGGCATCGGGAACTTCAATTTCAAACTGAAACTTTCCCCCTTGGTAATAGCCCTCATCTAGAAAAGGAAACCAACGAAAATAGTTACATAAGAGAAAACAACAAAGATTACCACATTAGCACAGGGTTATAATCAAAACCTTAACCTGGCTGCACCACWAGGTGCCACCTAATCCAAAGAGTGTGTGGTCAGTGTCTTCCTGCACTCTCAAAATGTTYACAGCAGAAATTTGAAGTCAGAAGAGTCAAGAGTCCCAGAAAAATCCACCATCCTGATCACAGCRATGGGGATACCAAAGAATACCAGGGAATACTAGAGGAACCTTGGACTGAGGCGCTCATGTTGTACAAAGAAAATCCTCCCCTGTGGCAGGCAGTACCACACCACCAACCCTTGGAATGAGCTGGAGAAATACTTCTCTTGCTAATGCATTGCTAAATCCTGCTCCAGGATGGAGCACATCTTCCCAAACTTATGCTAGCAAGCATGATGAGCAGTATAACTGATGTGTGCAAGAACATGTTYCAGTGTACTTCAATAACAGCAAGCAGGCTCTTTTATTACAATTAYCTTACAATGATGTATCAGCTAGGAAAACACGTCTGCCTCTCTGCCAACCTCAGACTCAATAGTGAATTATTAAACAGGCTCAATGTTCAAATATGGCATATTAAAATATCCATATTTAACCATATAAMAGGATGACAGTCAGCCTGCAACTCTTGAGATGGCTGTGCTTGAAGCTGCAATGTTTGCAAGTGATCCGAAATGTATCTGGCATTGCCATTTTCTGAGGTTTTTAATTAAAAAGGGGAAACGGGTATCCAGCCCACACTGCAGATTTGGGACACGTGCAGGATGCTCTGGAACTTGAGTACTYCAGCCCCAGTGAAGGCCAGAAGGTTAGCATATGATGATGCAGGTTTTTAATATTTTTTAAAGTCAACAAKGTAAAGAAACGTTCTGTGGAACAATCCATAGTTTACAGAAACGCTGAGAAGAATTTTGTTATTATCTAGCTTGTTCCAAACCACAAAAAAAAAAAATCTAGTTTCTCCACTGCAGGTCATCAAAATCCTCTTTGAGGGTACTGTCTCCTGATCTGCTTTTCAAATCCAATCTTTATTCCCACTCCAATTCAATCCTGAAGTATGCTGGATTTATTAAGCAATCACAGGCACAATGTGCTTAACCAGAAAGTAAATGGACATGCACTGATTTTTATATGAAAAAGCAAGATAAAAGCATTTATCTTTTGTTTTCAGATATACAGAGATAAAAATCAGTAAAGCAAGCCATTACTGGAGAATGAGAAGTAAGAGGTGAGTTACACTGATGCCCTTTGATAAAACTGTCCCTGGTCAAATGTGCCAAACACTCAGAGCAAGACACTATTCCAGAAAAAAAAATCATTGGGAAAATGGTCCAATATCCCCCAGGAGYTCAAATACCACCATTTATCCAACAGAATATAGCAAACTGCACTTTATCCACCATCTAGCACTAGAATACATTTTAAACAAATGTCAGAAATTATCACATTTCCAAGTAGAAAAGTTATTTTCCTTGGCTTAATTTCAGTAGTTCTTTGATTTGCTGGACTTGGAGCAAAGCATGCAGCAACTCTTCACATTCCACCCCAGCTAAAATGAAATAAATGCCTGATGATGGATGTATCCACATGTGTCTTATGTCAAAGAAAATCCTCAGGTTTAACGAACACTCACTGCAATGGTTGTCCAAAAGAAACTCTCAAGAACTCTCAAATCAAGTCTCTCTCCAAGACAATTCAATATTCATCACTGCCTCACATTACAACTCATTTTATGTTTTGACTTTACCTTGCCATCAATCCAGTAGCACTAACACAAAACCACACTGAGCTACTACTGATTCTGCTATAAAATAAGCAAGGACATATTATATTCACCCAATTAGGAGAGCAAGGCATCTCCCMTCTTTTATACAATTCTCCCTCTATGTTTGTAAAGCAATAATAAAGCCACTCATTTGCAGTCACTGAAATGTATATTAAAAATTTGGAAAGCCTCAGTACCACCTAGAAATTTTGCACTGCATTAGCAAGATGACTTCTCATCTTTCAGCATCTCAAGTAAGTAAGTTCTCAGACTGGGAGAAAAATTCTCAATTTTTTAGGCATGTAGAAGTGGTGGGAAAAGAAGTTCTGGCAGAGCTAACAGTGAGGAAGGGACTATAAATAAAATCATCAAATAAAACAGCTTTAACACATAACTTAGGGAAGTTAGCCACAGAGATTCTTGATAAAAAGGGAGTATGTCTGAGTATGCCACAGTTTTCCTCCTACTGCTTAAATTTATGTCTTCAAGCTGTATTAGCAGAGCAAGCATCYCTCCCACTTCAGTCTCGAGTTTCATTACCAACAACCTTACTAATCTTAGCTTGCATTTGTAGGGTGTTTTAATGCCTGAAAGTGCTCTGGAAAACACTTCACCAAATTACTTCCTCACTTTAGAAGAAAATGCAAGATAATTAGGGCAGGCCACAAAGGATGCACTTTGGATAGTAACTCCCTGAATCAGCCATGCTCACCAATATTTGCCATTTTGTATCATGCAATCCAGAAAACACAGTCTTTATTAATCCCTCCAGAGTGGGACTCAAATATGCACACTAACCCCAGACTAATCCAACTGCCTGGGAACTGCAGGGAAATTGCATTAACAACACATACTCTTCTGGGTTTTCTTAATGAATAAGCCACCTAAACTCACCTCCCTTTTTTTTTTTTCCCCAAGTCATTACTGTGTTTTAGTCTCAGCCTCCAATTTTGTGCTCCAAATACCAGTGCAGCAGGCAGGACTCTGCCTGTATTCTAAGCATCTATTTCCTTATTCTCCCTAGATTTTAATCCAATATGATACTGGTGCAAAAATAATAACAGAGGCAAGTGGTAGCACAAGGGCATTTTTCAAAGACAGAACAACTGTTTCAGATAACAAAAGGAAAGAGAAGCTTCAGACAGCAGAGAAAACCAGCAGTGCCTGTCTTTGGAACACAGAGTTTTGTCCACTGCAGCAGAAAAATACAAGTCTAAGCCATTTTCCAGCATTTGCTGCTAAATATCCACTGATGGTGCACTGCAGAAAGCTGCAACATACAGGGATTGGAATTTCTTGAACTGTGTGAAGAAAGCAGCCACTTKCATCAAGATTTCCTACAAAATCATTTTAAATTAAAAACTTTCTGCCCTTGGATAATTCTGTAACATTAAATACTGGCTGAGAAAGGTTATTGTGAGAGGTGCTGAGCAAGGGAGTTGGAAGGATTTCTACTTGGTGGTCAAGTTTATTTTCTTATTCAAATTAGTCTTTTTGTGAGAGCCTAAGGAAGCTTCTTTTACTGTCCTTTCCAGAGCAGCCACATTCAAAATGACTGCATAGAACAAAATCAAGATTCATGCAATACTGTTCAGACAATACAAAAAGAGTTGGCTCAAGCCCACTTGAGCCATAAAACTTCTGTGACAAGCACTTTTCTGCCTCGAGGAAACTAAGACTTAGCATGCACTAGAGWAAACTTCAATATTGAAGGGAGGCAGAAAACTACAAAGGTTTYCTTGGTCTGCACTGTGTCCTGCCTTTAGAGTGCTAAGCTATAGCTGATCACAAGACTCTACACCTGAATTATGCATAGCTGAAAATAGATGTTTACTCGGGTCAAGCTGCAATTGCAGAGACTTCAGCTGTGCAGCTATATTTAGAGTAACAAAATGTTAATTAAGATCATCTCATTGGCAAGATCATTTCAGCAACGAAGCTGGCAYAAAAGTCATGCTCTGCATTCAACAGCTGGGTTCTGCCTGCAGCATCTTGCTGCACAGCAGTGAACAGACAAAACACTTCCTAGGATTTAGACACCTTGGAGTAAGGACAGCTTTTTCATACATCCCCCATTTGCACAGTGATTTCCAAATAAACTGGGATTTCATATAAACTGAAGGGCATTTGRTGCAAGCAGACTTAACAGCCACCAAATAAACATGAGCACAGCTCCTACACAGAATGACAGATCCAAAGTTCTAGATTAGCTCTTGAATTTAGTTTTGATTATACTGACGAGGGCAACCTCACTCGTTTTTCCATCACAAAAAGGAGCCACATTAATGGACATGTGAACAGAGACCATACAAAACTTCTGCTGGAGGAAGGGCCAGCTGATTTGGATTAATAAGCAGCAACAGTGACACCTAGCGCTGCTCTGACTTTGAAGTACTGGATTAGCAGAAACATTCCTGCAACTCCATTAAGTACAAACCACTATTTCTCCAGGTAGGCTGACACACCTCAACCAAATTCTATTATCAAAAGCATCTACAGGAAATGGGCATCTACAAGAATGAGCTGGCAGGGGCACACTGATCCCAACACATCTAACTCAAACCACTCGGTGCCCTGCACAAGGCACTGTTCTCATCTACRCAGTTGCACAGTCTCAAACAAAAAGAAGTGCGTGTGAAGTTTAAATAAACCTCCATACAAATTCAACCATAAAACACAACTTCCTATTCTAAAAYGCAGAGCAAACTGTCATTTCAGGTGGCTGTTAGGAAACTTACATGGAAAYAACAATTTATGAAAATGTTTTTACTGACCAGCCTGCCAGCAAGAGTTTCACAGCATACTTGCGTTATAATAAAAGATCTGATTTCCACATATTTGAACATTCACAGACTTGGAGACTCCTCTAAGTTAAGCAATTTCAGGCATGCCTAGATTTGAAGTTTTCCAGCAGTGTTACATTGGTAACCTATTCTTTACCTCTGCAGAACTAAGCACTCAGAACAGAATACCTAACAGGGCTGTAATACAGTAATATCCAGTCCAAGATTCCTCTCAGCAAATAAAACAAGGTGGTTTAAAACTGGCTGAGAGGGGAAAAATGTTCTCAATCAAAGTAAGCAAACAAGATCTGAATATTTCCTAAACCTACTCAATTTTGAAGGCCTATTTATTGGAATCTGGTTGTCAAAATCCAGCCCAGTTTCTCCACCCCATTAGCAAAATAATCATTCTATTACAACTAGACTTCCTTTCGACTAGAGGCTTTATTGGAATTCCTCTGGGAATTATGTTTCCTAAACACCAATATACAAAAACAGAATTCACAGTTKTAAAAATTACCTGGGGTTACCGTCAGCTGAAAGTAATGGAGCTTGTTTGGATCAGGAAAATTCACTTTACATGTACCTGTRAAGCAAAAGAATAACTGACATCAGACAACGAATTCTCCACTGTTGGAAAAGCAAACATATCATCTTTTAAACTCTTCAAACTGATTAACCTGATTAACCCCAACCTTTCAGTTAAGTAATTTCCTAAAGTTCTGGAGCATCACAAACCAAACACAGTGTTTTCACTCTCAGAAGAGARGAATTTAATGAGAATAGTGACAATGAAGAACAAGTATAGGGAAAAGGGAACAATCTGCTGGAACTGACAGGGGTTTCAGTTCAACAGCTGCAAGCTCCCAGCATAACAGCCCTTTGTTTGCATTTGGTGACACAACCCAAATTGGTTTCGCATGCACAAAAGTGGCCTTTCTTGACTGTGGCAGAGACAAGCTGKCAAGTTGGCAGAAGATGAGTCTATCCATGGATATGTTATTATCCATATTATGTAGCCTKTAGATTCTTAACCTATCAAGCTGTTTTTTGTAGTCAAGGAGTTGACTACAAAGAGTATCAGAGTTATAAACCTTATTTGACTGAAAAAAAAMCTAACTAGAGCTGCACACACMCCCTAGTAAAGCACCTATATTGTAGTAACTAAACATATACATTTCTCAGGTGTTTATTATCATTAACAAAACCTACTGAAAAAAGTTTACCTGTGTAAATTCTCCAGAATTGCCTTTAAAGGAAGGYTTATAACTCAAGTAAGATATCAGGGCTAAAATCACATTCTCTCGTCTTTTTTTTTYYTTTTTTTTAGGTAGTATGGATCACTCTTAAAAAAATGAATTTTTATGAATATTTTCACTCTTAACAAAGACATGAGGTTACATCTTGACCATGAAGTAATAGCAGGTTGGTTTCATGCTCCCAGAGAACTGAGCTATTTGTTCTGTCCCTTAACCAGAATTTCTTACTTTGAAAATGAGAGAATGAATTAAAAATAGAAGTGAGGCACTAATTGSACCCTTGAGTCCCAGGAACCTTTTGGGTGTACTATCATAGTTAAGCTCCGGCCTCCCAGAAATCAAATTCTGAAGGCAAATTATCAACACTCCTTCCAAAAGACACTAATGAGGGTCCACCTCTTCACAGTCCCTTAAGATGGAGCAATAAAGAAAACCTGTTCAAGCCAGAGTGGTGGAATTTTGCATAGCTTTCCCAGAGTTAACAAATACCATCAGAATTCATACTTCAGTCAAAATCTTCAATGGTCCTTTCCCCCTTAAAATGCATACGATTAAATGGTATACTCACAAGGTAAATTAGCTTCAAGGTCTGCAACCTCTGTTAAAAGAAAAAAAAAACAAAACCATTATTTGTGGAAGCATAAAGCCCTTCTTGAAGTCCAAATTGGCAGAGCTAATTTAAATCACCGTGTAAATCAAATTTTACTTAAAAATACAATTAAGCTGCAGGGGAAGTTTACCTTGAAATTTCTCTTTAAGCCACTCAATTCATTACCAAAAATGCTCATCTGCCCTACAGACATGGCAAATGTATCCTACTTTGATGGGGAGTGCCAAGACTGAAGCACCAGGGCTGCTACCACACAGAGCAYTGGCATTCCCAAACCACAGTTTGGTACTGGAACAATAACAAACAATWAAAATTTCCTTTTATTTATTTCCTGAGCTTAAAAGTAATTCACAAAAGAAAGGCAGCACCCTGATTCTGCTCCATGGCCCCACGGAAGTGAAGGCTGTCAAGTCACCTTCCCTGGAAGAGCCCCTGCTGTTGTGTATTTTATTGAACCCTTACTTTCAACTATCTCTATTTCACAGAAGTATGAAGGAGATGCATCAAGATATCACTCCTCTTCTAAAGTTCTAGGAAAASTAATCGAGTCTATTTTTGGCATTTCCTGTAGTCTAATTCTCCACTTCTGGCTCTGCTTTTAAGCCTCCACAGACACAGCCCATTTATTTGAGCTGACAACATGCAAGAGATTTCAGTATCAACTCTCAAAAACACACATAAAGAAAACAGTCATTCAGAATTCTTGACACTGAATCCAAACGGATCTCATGACAACTCTCAGTAACTCTGCAGAGCATTTCCTGCATCCATGCTTACCAAACCTGGCAGGTGTCTGCAGTGGGAATGAGGCTTATTTGACTTCCACCACCCTTTCGCTTGGCACATCCTGCATCTGCAGCCTACTACACCAAGAGAAAAAAATCCCACCAGAACAGAAGTACCGTGCTTCACACCTACCTAAAAAAATCACAACTTCACTCTTTTAAAATCCCACATTCGAGCAGCCAGAGCTGATTTAACCAAAGCCATGCATTGAAAGACAACACTGGGGCCATATTTTTGCTAAAGTACAGTCTTTATAATACACACACAAAAATGTAATTTCAGCTGTAATCAAGAACTTCATTTCAATTTTCCCTTCCTGGTCGATAAAAAAAAGACATACAACCAAGCCCTGAAGGCTGCAGCTACAAAAAATTTTCCTTATATTACTTACTCCCTCACTCCTTTCTTCAAATTCACCACCCTTTCATAGTGGGAGGCCCATCAATCTTCACTACAGGGCAAAGTTTAGGATCTGGCTCTTATTTTAAAGTGTTGACTGCTTTCCTTTACTGCTTTCTGCACTTGTGTGTTGTTCAGCTTAATGAATCCTGCCTGCCCTTTGCCTGATCCTGAAAAATGGAGACACCCAAGGGCAGAGCATGTTCAGCCCCAGCAATGGCTGAGCTGAGCAGCTCTGCTGAGCAAGGGCCTTACTTTTGCCTCCTGCAAGGTTCAATGGAGTTTACAGTCACCAGAACTCTTGGAAGTGTTAAAAGCTCCTGTAACGTGTTCACATCCTGCGTTTCTCTCTGTCTCGGCACAAGAATGAGAGGGTTTTCTTGTGAAAACATGAAAACAAAATGCTCACACCCAGGAGAAGGGAACACTGCTCCTTCTCTGAAGGTGTGCAAACAAGCAGGAATGCTGGGCTAATAAATCCACACAAAAACTTTGCGAACAAAGGCAAGTGCCCCAAAATTGAGGTTTCTAATGAACTCTGCAACAAACCACTGCAACGAAGAATGAAACAATTTCATGAAAATAAAGCAGACAAAGATCTGCTTCAATAATCTAAATGCTTACAGCAGCATCAAGTAAGACAACAGATGTTACTATTAATTGTGCCACATAAACAAATACTGGTGATTAACCAATTAACAACTACATTTAACAGGCCAAAGCTCTGGGTTTGAGGGTTTTCCAAATTCTGTGACTGTTTGATAGCAACAATCTTGATATTGGAACTATTTTTGTATGTTGCTGCTCAGAAAGCAAACATTTTGACCACAGCATTCAGGTTCCAGTAGGATTCTGATGTGTTAAGTTATGCGTTTTCTACATAAAGCAACACCTCTGGCATGAGCACTCTCAAAAAGAAAATGCCCCTTTGTGCAGGCTGCCAACTTACTTAACAGAGATTTGTAAATAAGCAAAGCCCAGAAGTGACAATCAGAGTTCCAATACACATAACTTCCAAGAGCTCCAAGAGCTTCAGTAAATTAAAGAACAAACTTAAGCTCACAATTTTTTTGAGCTTCTCTTTCAAGAAATTACTGTCACTACAGTTGAGCAATAAAGCAAATTCAATTTGATTACTTTTCATGGTCGTTTTGKGGAGGATCAGCATCTGTCTCTCAATTCACACCATTAAGGTGATGAGACAAACAACCAGAAAATCCAAATCTCAGGAAATACCATCAACTCCCAAACAGCCCATCTGGTGTTCCCAAAACATTGTGGCATCTAACGCAGAGGCAGCCCAAGCTGTGGTGTATTTTCAAAATCCTGCTCTTGACCCACTGTGCACTTGCTTGAACAGTTCCAAATGCTACTTGAAACCATAAAAAAGGTRAGGCTTAAACTTAAACCCACCACAAACACTGGGTGAGTTGAATGCAAACAGATTATGTCTCAAAAGCAGATCAGAAACCGTACAGGAGAGAGACAAAGCTAAGCCTAACACAAGCAATGAGAGCTATTTATAAACTATWTCACAAACAGTAACTCCCCCTACCCATTACAGTTCTCCAGACTRCACCCTCCTGCTGTGTGTACAAGGTTTATGAGACACCCCTGAGAATCTTTAATGCACAGACCACAATCCCACTGCTCTGCTCCCTCACCTCCCCCTATCAGAMTATAGCTGTGCTTCATTTACTGCCTTCCACAAAAATCAGGTTACATGCTTCCTGCTGGAGTTTGGTTTTAAGTACACCAAATAAAGGCATTATTTCATCAATTGAATATTCTCATCCACATGAACATTGCTTCTCTCTAATTTCGTTGAAAAAACTCCACTCCTGTTTAACCCCACTCCCTCTTTAACTTACTTCTTTAAGACTTCCAGAGATGAAGATAAAATACCTTGATTCTCTGATAAAAATTTGTTTTCTACATGTCAGTTCTCATGTTCTCTTAATTCCAGGATGCTGTCTGCCTTGTCATTCTTACCCACCCATCTTTATGGCATTCCCTACTTAACTCCACTGAACATACAGACAGTATTAGAAAAAAAGTATTTTCTCCCCTCTCAACTTTCCTCACCTGATATTGTGAGGAGGGATATTACTGTTTTTGAAGACTTGAAGAAAGCTAAGAAATTGATTCCCTCTTTTTTAGTTACCAGGGACATTCACCTCACTTTCTCATCTCACTTTCTCACTTCCACTGTCTCAGGCTTACACAGAAGCRCACATAAAATATTTTCTGGTTACATAAATACGATTGCAAAAGTCACACATTTTGAAGATAACCGAGGAATAAACCTTGTTAACTTGTTTTCATATATATTATTTCAAGCTGCCACAATCAAACGAAGCAGTAGTGCAATATAAAACTGAATCAAGAACTTTAGGCACACTGCAAAAAACGCAGTTTAAGGGACAACCTCTGTGATGCATGAGCTACTACTGGCATTCAGGTGTGCTCTCTATCTTAAATTCAATTTTGCAGTCACCTTCATTATACAATATTAATCTTAAATCCACTCTGGCTTGTCCTCAGCCCTTTTTAAATTTCAGAAAGGATCTGCCTTTCGAGTTCAGCACTGCATGCTCAGCATCCTGGAGAAGCAGTCATGCGGCCTCTGCTCCCAGCTTAATGAAACTCCCCTTAGCGATGAACAGAACATTAAAAATTGCCTCTGCAGCACAGAACAAAATGAAACCTGCTAAAGCAATTGTACTGCTTGCTCTACTTTAATGTGGATACTAGGCCTACAGAATAAGGGCCTTACTCACCAACTGAGCTTAGATGGAAATCCAGCGAAGACAGATGCACAAGTAAGTAATAATAAACTTTTAACAAAGCTGTGCTTTACTAGACCCTCTCTATAGYTGGAAGAGAATATCCAAATGACTCAGAATTACTTCCCAATATAAAACTTCAGGGGTATTTCCATTCATAGTATGTCCATAAAATAACTCAAGTGTCCTTCGCCATGACTGATGACTGAATACTGAACGTAAGCAATCAAAGGAACAACTTAGAAAAACTAACAGAGGGCACCAGAATTTCAAGAGTAGATTTTCYACAAACGTGGAACAAAGTCTTCTTAACCTGCACCAATCCATAAAACCAAAGTCAGCGCCCGGCACCACTATTTCAAACACCAACTGAGAAGCTTCTTCACAACCACAGTGCAAATAGCTATCAGAGCTAAATTATTACTTATTTTTCCTACTTTCAGGCAGCATGCAGCTGGTCTATGCCAAGTTTTTTTAAGTTTGTAGGCATCATCTACACTTCTCAGTCGCTGGGGTCATGGTCATCACCTTAATCAAAACAGCACTGATCTATTTAACAGGCAGGGTACACAACACAACTGAGGACTGGAGGGTTATCAGTGTGACAGCACATCCCTCACAGATCCTCTACTGCCTTCCTGGACTGGATTCTCTATCAACACAAACAAGGCTGTCTTTAATTTACCTTCAGAAAAAAAACCAGACACCGTCTGTGTCTGGACAATACCCTGAGCAAAGCTGGCAGACATCCGTCTGCAGGATTTATTAGACTAAGCCCAATTTACTGTGGATCAGGGAATAGGACAGTGGTGCTTCACCACTGACAGACCACTCTGGGTCTTTTCTCATCTCCTCCTCCTCCTGTGCTGATGGCCAGAATTCCCCTTCTTTTATGTAGGACGGATTATTTTTCAGTTTGTTGCCAGGACACTGACCTGACGGAGCCTTTCACCCATTCTGCCACTCTCACATGTTTGGAAACTCCACTCTAAACACACACCAGTAACTTCTACTTAGAACTATTCTGCCAGGCTCCTACTAGCTTTGGGACTCAATACAACACCCTGAAGTTCAGCTTATTACAGGTTTATTACAGTTCCACACCATCAAGCAATAAAAGGCACTGGTGCTGGGCCAGCTGCAGCACATCATTGCTGTGTGCACACCTTTAGCAAGCAGCTCTGCACTCCCACTCAAACTCATTCCTGCAGCTCTTTATGTGACCTAAGAACACTAGCAACATCAGCTCACCTTCACTCAGTCTCACAACATCATAGATGCTGCTGCAGCTGATCTACCTTAAAGTGYTGGAGCAAGTTCTAGAAAATTTTGCAAACAAGTAGCCTATGTATAGCTTAAGAAGCTTAAAACAGAACATTCCTAACGAATCTTTCCCACTAGATTTCCCTCTCAGTAGTCACACTGGAATGATTTGCTTCCACTGTCAGTTTCCATTTCATTCAGAAACCATTACATGCAGACTGACAGCTGCTCCTACAGCTCTTTCGGGAGAGCGCTGTGACTGCGGTGGCGCATCCTCCCCTCAACGTCTCTGGCCTGCATTACAACTTCAGTATTTCCTGTCAGGCCCTGGCCTTTGCACTGGAGCTCAGTGGTGAAGCATTCCTGAACTTGCACCAAGATCTCTTGCAAGGCTMAGGTGGGAGTAGCACTGACTGCACCAGGAACGAACTCCTGCTGTCTGGATAAGGTGGGAGATGGCAGTAGGAATAATGAGTCATTCCGTGACAGCTTTGGAACATTCCTTATGGGAATTATAGCCTAAGTGAAATGGAATCATCCTCACTTGAATTTCAGAAAATTCCAATAATGTCCAAGAAGGCATTCACAGAATTATTTCATTGATTCTGGGGGGGAAATTTTTTAATATGTATTCCCATGTATACATCCATATCCATACATGTGTGTGTTACCTTTGCACATTTGTCTACATATATATCTATCATTCTGTATGTGTGCGCATTGACTTGAACACCCTATAAAAGAGTATACGTTATCATCTTGCATCTATGTTTATAGTTGATTCATGATTAATGTAACATTTAAGTGCTTTTGTGATTAAGTTCCGCTAAATCTTTTAGACAGTGTTCACTGAGTCCAAGACTGAGCCCAGCTGCAGTGACTCCTGCCTGAAGAGTTTAGAAAGGAAAGGGGCTCACTCTGAACCCCCTGACTCAACTAAGAGTCTCCTTTACCTCTTCCCTTTCCTCTTTTCATTCCAGCCTCTGCACATATCACTCTAAATTGATTAGAATTTGATTCTCTTTTACATGTAACATCCATGCAGTAAGCAGCAACACAAACCTTACCACCAACCTTTGCTGTACTTTTGCAATTTTATATTTAGGCACTTTTTCACCAATATCTTTGATGGTGACTCTTTAAGTGGCCTAAACCACTCATTTCACAGCAGGGATACCACCTCCATGCACAATCACATCAGGATCCAGCACTCAGTGCTTGTCAGAGGCATGTGAGCACTGACCTGCTTTTAACATTTGTCAGTCTGGGACTTGTTCAATACTTCRTCTGTGCAGGTTTGCTAAAATAGCCACAGCAATTACAATTATAATGTCAATACTAATTTTTCTATAGCTTACACTGTCTTCCTCCCCTGCRGACTTGGGCATGGTTTTGAAAAACATGATTGCTCTAAGGGCAGAGTAAAATTTCTTTGGCACCTCAAATGAAGTGTGTTTATTTTACACTATCTTCCCCTGTCTATACCGTAGGTTAGGGAAAATCTCAGATTATATATATTTAGTAATTTGGCTTTGTAGCTTAGCCTGGTTAAAGAGCTTATTTCTCCTGCCTGCATCTCTTCCCTCTCAGAACTGAAGTTAAATGAGGATTTCCAAACTGGAAGTRTAAGAGTAATCACAATTTAAAACATATAAAAATTCCCTGTCCTTAAAACAATAGAGAGAGAAAATTATGGACATTATATTGCTGCAGTCTAATTGAGGCACTTCCCAGTGCACTGAATCAGCAGCATTTGCAGTGACACTTTGCTCCAGCAAGGTTTAGGCTTTTTTCCCCACCAGCTAGTAAAAACCTAATGCAGCCTTCCTAAACACACCACAGAATTTACCCTAATTTGAAAAAAAAAAAMCCCACATGCAATACTAGCTAGGTRGTATCAGTCAGGCAAATCCACCTGTGCTGGTCTAAAATCATTCTGAAACAAAGGAAATGTGAATTTCCTTTGACTGGCATGAATCCCAATAGTGGCAGTTTACGTATCAACAGCAGTACATCTGCTACTGATCATTCTCAGCAGAAACATCAACCTGAACAACCCATTCCCTGCCACTAACACTCAAATCTGAGYAGAAGGAGTGAACCTGAGTTTAAGTCCATAGTAATTGCAAACTGTCAGCACCAATGTATTTTTAAATGTATTATCTATGCTACCAAAAAAAACTGAAGCACAGGAAAGAGCTGTCCCAGGTTTAAATATAAAATGGTTTAATTATTGTCTCATTAACCCACAACTGCCACTAAGTAGGTTTGGGGCTTTTTTTTCCACCAGCTGGTAAAAACTTACAGTAGCCTTCCTAAAACACACCACACTGCAATACAATCACCCGTTTATTATTCACAAATTCATACTCAACTTCTAAGGACTCTAGGCCTACAGAAATCTCTCTTTGCATTGCTTTTCTAAGCTTTTTAAAGTTTGCTGCCTCTGACCTGCGCCATTAAAGACCAACAAAACACTGCTGTTTCTTTTATGATATTTTTTCCTGTGACAGGCAGTTATGTTTTTACTCAAAACCCATCTTCCTATCAAGGCAAATATACTAGTGTCGATACTCTCCTCCTATGCATTCTGTGACACTTATGTGGCATTTTTTCATCATGTTTTAATCAATGATGGACTAACTTTCAGAAGGAGGACACCTCTTTGATTTTCATTRCACAATAGGCGTTGTAGAAGCAACAAGCTGCTGGAGATGAGATGCATGTCAATGCATACACTACAGCAGTAACCCCAAGGGAAGTCACAAGCCATTTTAAAAATACCTGTGGGATTTTACACGCAATTTAGTGCTGTTTACTGCACCACTTCCAATAATACACTCGAAAACAGTAAACCCCAAAATATTTCAATATATTCTTTCACCTTTAACGAGTAATTTATCCCGGACAGACACCCTCCGAGTGGAGTCAGATGCTGGGCTGGACGTACGGGGGCCTCTGACACCATCATCCCGCTTCAGCTTGCTTGCCAGAGTTAGCATTACTGCTGCTTCCCACCTGGAACACAACGGGACAGCAGGGACAGTCACCAAAAACCAGCCAGCGGCGAGCAGGGGAGGAGGAAAACAAGTTTTTGAATAAGGAGCAAACTACCATCAACACAGAACTGCTGCATACAGGTAACAGAGCTGTGATTAAAGATAAGGATGGCCCAGAGCACTTGAAGAATGAGTTTGTTTGAGCTGTGAATACTGAGGCAGTCACAGTGCGTTAGGCCAACAGGAAATTCAGTTTTCTGGAGAGAGGTCAGGCTTACATCTGTGTTAGCACCACTTTCACTGCCTGACATTGCTCCTTGGAAAGAGCTCCTGTGAAAATAGCCCTGCCAGCCCCCTACTCTCCTCCACACCTCCCAGGACAACCTCCAGAGCTGCCCTTTGGCTGGTCAAAAGAAAAAAAAAAAAACTTATAAGGAGAAAGGGAAGGGATTACTGGAACAATTCTCTAAYGTTAGGAAGTGGGCTTTGAGACAGCTCCCACAGCACAGGAAAGGGACTGAAGCTRCAAACAGTGCAATTATCAACACAGCTGCACTAGAGCAATTCCTCACAGGACAAAAACCTTACGCACAGAGACCGAGTAACTGAAATGAAGAGATACTTTTGCTGTGCCAGCAATCCACTCTAGAAGATAACTGCACTGTTTAATTAATTACAGTAAAAGGTGGTCAGAATGCCAAAGTCATGAAGCCAAAATATCCAGCCCATCGTGGCTTAATATGTTGTGACAACTCCTCTTTCTTTAACATTTTGGCTAAAAGCAATGCTGACAAGATCCAAACCCTTCAGCCCCCACCACCACTAATATCACTAATATCACAGGAGAAATGCTTATTCTTAAAAGTCATATGAATTAATCAAACCAAATAAAGGGGGGAAAAAAAAGCAAAAAGCCAGGGAATAATCTCTACTTCGAGGCTGAGAAGAACATAATAGAAAAACGAGCAACAAGGTTTAAAAAAAAAAGGAAAACATGTATTTCACAACAGACCTGAACAGTAGGAAACTCTGGTCAGATCTACAAGAAGGTCAAGCTCCCTGAAGCTGACAAGTTTGTGTGTGTAAGTTTCAAGATTTTGTTTAAAAACCAAAATCAAGTTCAGGGTAAATGTAAAATCCAGCTGGCTCAACTGAAACGTACTGTGGGTTTTATCCCAGAGAAGGAAAGAATAAGCAGAACAAAAAGTCCATTTTTCCCTGGAGAAGGAAAAAACAACAGCTGCTTTAAACAAAAAAAAAAAAAAAAAAGAGAAAAAGAAAACTAAACTGTAGACCAGCTCTTCCATCAAAAAAAACCCCACTTTTTAAGTGCTAATTCCAAATAAATTCAACTTCGATAAGCATTAAAGGCCTAAATACCTTTACAGCTTGCCCTAGGAAACCAGGAAACCCAAGAGAAGCGTGCCCAGCCTGGAAATGAAATTATTGGCTTCGGCTATATCCCAAATTCTAATGGAGCACGGCAAGAAAGGACTCACAAATTCCAAGGAAAGCTTTACCGGGGAGACAGGAGAGGAAGGGAGAAGTGCTGTGCTTATTTCTAAGGAAGAGAGCAACAGTCAAGGGAATTSTCCAGCTGCTCCGGGAGGGGAGATAGCAGGGGTCGGGGAAGTCCCTCCGCAGTGCCAGGGGAACGCTGGGTCGCGGGGGAGCTGGGCCGGGGACCCAACCGGGAGCCGAGGCCTGGCGGGCCGGCAGATACGGGGACACCGGCAGCGGCCAGGCCTTAGCCGAGGGACGGGGGACAGCCCGCACGTACCTGAGCGCGGCGTCAGGGACCAGCTGCCGCGGCCAACACCATCCCCGGCGCCGGCCGGGGGGGAGCGGCGGTGGCGGCTCCTCCTGGCTCCTCCTTCCCTCTGCTTCCTCTSCTTCCTCCTCTTCCTCCTCCTCCTCCCTCAGCGGAGATCTCGCGAGAGCCCAGATGGGACCGGGAACTGAGCCCGCCGGGATCTCGCGAGAGTTTGGCGGAGGCGGCGGGGAGGCCGTTTGCCGCCGGGAGGGCGGCGCCATGTTGGGGCTGCCCCTGAGGGGCTCCCTCAGGCAACGCCGCCATATTGGGGCGCTCCCTCAGCGCCAGCGGGGTTCCGCACTGCCTGAGGGGAATTACAACGTGCATCTGACTTATCTGTCCCCAGGCCGAATTTTCTCACCTTTTGTAAAGCGAGTCAGAATCATTAAGGTTAGAAAAGACCTCTGAGATAACCGAGTCCAATCTTTGACCATTCCCACCACATCAACCACACCGCAGYACCGAGTAGTCCCCGTCCAGTCGTTCCTTAAACACCTCCAGGGATGGTAAGCTCACCACCCTCCTGGCCACCATTTCCAATAAATTCCATTCTTTTATTGTCCCCTCACAGTGCTGTGGAAATCGGGGTGGTTCAGCTGCAATAGAAATTACGCTGAGTCTATGGCAAATAGCAACTCACCCAGAGTGGAAAAATTGTCAGGGTGATTTCAGAAGCAGAGCGTAACAGGGCTTGCCACAGCCTTTGCCTTAGTGCCTATTTAATTTACCAACTAATTGTACATTGCAGCAGCAGATTAATGGGAGAATAGTGAATCAGATGAAAGCAATAATCAATCAGATGAGCTAAATAGTCAATCATATGGAAGCACAAGTCCATCAGATGGAATCTGTGTTAAAAATTATCATAAGAGTGCATTTAGTAATGGACGGTGAATTAGTTGGGTGTCCTGACTAGACTGACCAAAAACTTCAGAAATTTTCACAGTTGCGTTGTGTCAGCCCTTCCATCTGTAAAATAACTGCATAAACTTAAATTGTTCCATTTGGTAGCTACCACTAAATGAGGGAACCAAAACTTAGCCATTTAAGCAGCATCCAGGCTAGAAGATGTGATGAGGCAAAGCTGGAGACTGGACACAAGGAAAGTTTGGCAGACAGCTACTGAAATTCTGCATCCTAAACATTCACTGCAATGATACCCCTGCCCCAAAAAGAAACTGGAACTTAGCTTACCCAAATATAGTTAAACTGGAACAGAACTGCTGCTTACAGGCCTTTCTTCCYTCCTTAGGATTTTCTCTCCAGATCCATGTATTGCTTGGATAACACAATACAGCAGCTTTGGACAGAACTAAACACAACCTCCTCCCACAGGTGTTGGCTGTATGTAGTGTGAGGAAAATTAATCCACRAACACCAGAGGTTTTTGTTCAAAAAGGAGACAGAGGAGTCCCGTAACTTTATTCGAATAAAGGCAGAGGCCATGGGACATTTCCATGGGGTCTCTCAAATATCTGGAGGACGCAGCCTCCTTTTTATCCTAATTTCCCAGCCACATTTCCCTCTCTCTTTCCCCACTGGCTGARGTACTTGAGAGCTACAGACTGTCCAAATCACCTAATACAGACCCCCTTCTAATGTGCATCCCATCCTTTTTTTTATTCTTTGTGACTCTGTTCTTTTTCTCCAAGTCCAGGGATTTAGCACGGCTTGAGTGAGTAACAGTCTGTATCAACTGTGGAATTCCTATGGAATTTATGGTTCCTCTCATTGCTYCTTTGACCTGCCAGTATCTGGCCTTATCTACCAGCAGACCCCATAACTTATTTGTAAAGACATCTCCTTCTCATTCCTTTCAGTAGGTTCCAGAGAGAGGGATTTCTTGCAAACCTTCAAAAGAGAGCAGTGAAATCGGGAGCAGGGCCAGGTGGGATCCCAAAGCAGGCACTGATGGCATCTGTGTGTTCCTGGGAGSCCGAGGTCACAGAGGCAGAGCATTCCTGCAACCTGTTTTTTCGAGAGAATGAGCCGTGCCTCGTTATAAACAAATCCCGGAGTCCATGGGCAATTCCAGACGCTCCTTGGGGTTTTCCCTGCCCTTCGGAGGTGTTGGCACACGGGCGTTTCCCTCTCGATGGGTTTTTATTGCCTCGGGTGCTGCTCCTGACGTTAGATGGCAGCACATGGGTAACACTTGGGGCATGGCCAAGCAGCTATTAAAGCTCTCCAAAGAGCTTAATTTCCCCAACATTTTCCTCTCCCCGTCCCCAGATTAAACGCAATGAGGTTCCTTTTGAACAATATCGTTATAAGAMTGTGCAGGCGATAGCTGTGCTATGGGATTACAGCAAAGCATAGTAAAAACACGGGATGGCAGCTTATCTGCTTATGGTAGCTACTTTAGTTTTCATATTAAATAGCACATAAGAAAATAATTTATACAGACAAGTATGCATAATATCCTTCTTAATAAATAGCAGGTTTATATAAATAGATTAAAAAAATAAAAAAATAGAKATCCTTAAAAACATTTTGAGAACCAGAAAAACAAAGGTATCCTATAAATACACATATTCATGTTCTTTCAGGAAGTGCATTACTTTGCCTTCTCTCAAGCCAATAATTTAAAAAACTGTGAAAAAAAAAATTGTAACCTGAGCTCACATAAGTAAGAAAAAAAGTTAAATAATAAGTATAGCGCAACACAGTTGTTTTTCCCAAGCCTTGAGGCGTTCCTTGGGCAGGGGCTTAAGGACACTTCAGCACTTGTCCTGGAGGGCAGCGCACCGCAGGTTGTCCAGCACTTGAAAAACGTTGTAGATGGTGGAGGCCCTCAGGCATGCCATGGTCTCGGWGTTCTCCTGCAAAGGGGAGAAGGAGTGGCTCAGCACTGAAGTGGGGTGCAGCAGCCATGCAGTTGCTGACACCCCAAAACCCATCATCCCGCCGGCCTGACTTACTGTCTGCATGGCCACCCGCAGCTTGTGCAGCCAGTGCCTCAATCTCCCCGAGGGCTGGTGTGAAGGATCCACCTGCAAGGACAGCGGCTGGGTGAGGAACAGCCCCACCAGCACCGGGGCCGCTGAGCTGGCCCAGAGCAGGGGTTTGGGGGAGGCACTCACACAACCCCGCACATCCTCCCGGGCCTGAGTGAAGAAGTCCAGGGGCCGCCGGCGCACCTCGACGAAGCTGGGGACAGYGGGGAGCTCCAGCATGGCGGTGGTGAGGTTGAGCTCAGCTGCCACCAGCACCACTCGGTCGGACATCTGTGGGTGGGAGTGTCCTGGTTAGGGACCCGAAGCACTGGGACTGGAGGATGGTGGTCTCCAAGACCTGCCTGGAGGTGTGGGTAGGGGTGGGACTGGATGACAGGAGAGGTGTGCTCCTTTACACAGCATCACCTCGCTCTTACCRGCAGGTCTACTGCTTTCCATTTCCTGTGAAGGAGACTGGTATTGCATTTGTGGTTGTTCACCTGCAGGCATAAACGGAGAGAGAGACTGAAAAATTCTTATGGTGACTTCTGGCGATGTTGTACAACCCTGGCTAGCCTTGAGGGGTTTGAAACCAGGATGAAATTTGGCTCCGCACCCTTCATATCCCCAAACACCCTTGGAAAACATCCTCCTCATCCCCAAACTGCTGCAGAAAACATGCACCTTGTCACTCAGATCTTGAATTCAGCATCCCCTCTGTCTTGCCCCCCGCCAGCCCACCACCCCCTCTTGCAGCAGTACTCACAAACTCTTTTGTCATCTTCCTTACGGCCTTCTGCTCCTCATGTGCAATGCTCTGGTACTTGGAAAGCCTGCAGCCCTTCCTCAGGGCGTCRTGGGGAAAGGTAGCCCCCAGGCTGACCCCCAGCACCAGCACGAGCAGTGGGGTGAGGCTGAGGCACAACATTCTGTCAACAAGTGATCGATGGTCAGCAATGGATTACGATGAGGTGAGGAGGCTGCGGTGCAGGATGCCAGAGAGGATGAACAGGAGAACTCCGGGCAGGATTCACCCAATTTCTGATGCAGAGATGCCTGACAGGTGCCGCAGGTGGCTCGTTCAGGTGTAGAGCTGCTGGGTTGGTAGCTGACACAGGGAGCTGAGTCGCTTTGCTCACTGTGGCTGCCTTGCTGCTCCATCTCCAGCTTTTTATTCTGCCYGGTGCTTTCATGTTCATTGGAAAATCCAGGGCAGATTGGAAAGAAGAAAATGAAAGTGGTGGAGGGAATSCCTCCTCCATTACCTGCCCTGCCGCCTCCAGCCCTGCTGTTTGCTCCGCCTCAGCCCGGAGCACAGGGGATGCTCCGGCTGCCTCCAGCACTCACCCTCCGAGGGGGCTGGGGCTGGGGGACGCTGCTGCCAGGTTGAGTGGCACAGAGATGCTGGCAAGTGGTGGAGACACTGGCATGACCCAGCCTCACCCCACACTGAAAGCTGCGGGAGACACCTKGGGCTRTTCCTCCTCAGGTGCAGGACTTTGCCTTTCCCCTTGTAGAGCTTCAGCAGATTCCCACCAGCCCATTTCTCCAGCTTCCTGAGGTCCCTGTGGACAGCAGCACAATCTCCTGCTGGGTCATCCACTTCTCCCAGTTTGATGTCACCACTGAACTTGTTACAGCGAGGGTTCCCTGTCCTCATCATCCAGATCATTAATGAAGAGGTCTAATGACTCAAAGCTGTTGACTSAAAGGGTCCATCAAACCCTGCTTCAGCCTTTCCCCTGCTCCAGCAGCATCCCAGAGGGCTCAGGTCTTTCCTGGAAAACCACAGTGGAGATGAAAAATAGGAGGGGGCAGCATGGATTGGACAGCGGCTCTTCCAACTTTGTCCAAAGCTTGGAGAAGAGCCAGGACAGCAAAACACAGTGCTAAAGCCCCAGAGCGTGGTGGGCAGAGTTTTCCAGCCATGGATGTGGCCACTGGACCAGGCTGCCACCCAGCCTTCCATGCCAAGAGCAGGTTAGATGAGGTCAGTAATTAAAAGCTGGAGCCCTGGTGTGGGCTGGGGTCCCTTGTCTGCCCTCTTGATGAACAGGACAAAGGCTCTGCCTTTCCTTTCTCTCCCATTAAAGAAACCCATAGATTTAGAAGAATAATTTTTATTCAATGCAACAAAGTTCATGATCAATATAGCTGTGAAATCTAAGYCCAAACCAGCATAAATAATTCCACTTCTGTCACCAAAGCAGGCACAGCTCAGCTGCAATAGAGGGCACCTTAAAAATCCCAACAGATGTARAATAAATGTGGCCCCCAGTGAGAGAGAGGTGATCCATCATGAACCACTGTCCCACACCACCGATCTCTGCTGAGACACTTTCGGGTCACCCATCGGGTCACAGAGCAGCATCACATCCTCRTGGGACAGCTCTGGCTCCTGTTTCTCATCGCTGTGGCTTTTTTCTCCCAGGTGTCATTTCTGTTTGGAGAAGTAAAGTGAAAGCTCATCTCTTCACTCACGCAGAAGGAATTTCAGAGGCACCAAAGAAAAGTGAAAGCTGTGGGGCAAAGCCATGAGCACAGCCCCCAGCACACGTGGCAGCTGGAATGGACRCATGAGGATCTCTCCTGGGGGCCTTGCTCAGGTATTTGTGCCATCCCCAGCCATAGCCAAGCCCCACRCTCCTGGCTGAGGAGCAGCAAGGACTTTTTCCTTTGGGATGGGATCTTGCCATCCTGAGACTTGACGTGTGTCTTGCACAGCGATGTCATGCTCCACCATAGCCCAGCCCAGCCAGCAAAGCAGGGCTGCATTTGCCACAGCTCCTCCAAACTGTGCCAGTGCCAGCTCCTGCTCTGGCAGCACAGTGTCCCTCAAAGCCAGCACAGGCTGGGGACATCACACTGTGCCCAACAGAGTCTACAGGGCACTGGGGATCCATCACAATCATCACTCCGGTCCCAGCTGCTGATGGCACTGTGCCAGGAGAGCAGCACARATGGTGATGATGGAGCTCCTTCCATGGAGTCGCACAGCACGGAGGCTGGAGCCACTCCAACTTGGAGCAAGAAATTCCAGGTATGAAGCATTTCCAGGTGAGAGAACGAAACTGAAACATGACTGTGGGCAGGGCTGGCATCAGCACTGGGTGAGGCAATCGCTCCGTGGTGACTCATGGGTTCTTGCATGGCACAAGCGTGGGAAAGCTGTGGCCACAAGCCATGCCACTGCAGCTGGGTAAGGACAAGACCAGATGGCTCCTGACCCCAGTGGGCTAGTCTGGGAGGAAGTGACTCCTGCTAAACTGACTAGTCTGGGTAAAGAAGATAGAAAGAACAGAAAGTGTGCCCCAAAAAAGCCAGCTTTAAAAATAAACCCCCCAGGTGATGTGTGGGAGCCCTACCCATGGCCCGAYGATGCCAGGACAGGGGGCATCAGCTGGGCTCTGCTCATCAGCCATCACCAGAGCTGTTCCTGCCAGTCTGGAGTGTCRGTGCCACCAAAGTGCCCCCGGCCCCACTCCATCCCCCAGAACCCTTCAGCACCTCCCAGCACATGTGAACTGCAGCTGCCACTGCCAGASCTGGTGCCACTCCGCTGTGACACCRTGCACGGTGGTGATAAAATCCCTGGTGCTACATCACAGATGGGCACCCACTGCAGGCCAGTGTGGGAAGGAAGGGCTGTAAATTAGACATAATTAGTGAGCTGACTTAAACTTCTTTTAAATTTAAAGTGAGGRAAAAAGCCAAACATTTTTTACCCAGAGCCTTTGTACCAGCACTGTAGGGACAGAGGATGTCACCTCCCAGGGGACCCCTCCCTGCCCTGGAATGTCTGCAGGGATGCACCTCACAGGGACAGCTCTGCCAGCAGAGCTGGGGCTTCCCTGGCTTGGGAAGCCAGACAAGCCATCAGCTGCACAGTGATGGGTTTCACCCAGTGTCTCCCTGGGCAGGAGAGACCCCTCACTGTCACCCATCAAGGGAGGCCTGATGGCTGCTGCTGGCCCAAACCCAATCTGCACCTGGAGCWGCCTCTCAGCCAGTGAAAGCAGGGCCTGATCCAGTATTGCTGCTCCAGCACACGGCCACRCACACAGAGAGCAACTTCCCATTCATGATGGGCTGCCCACCCCATAGCTGTCCTCCCATCACCCTCATGGGGGACCAACTGGGGGCAAAGCCTTTGCTCCCCACCCTGGGCAAGCTGAGGGGAGCTCAGTCACAGCCCTGAGAGCCCACRACTTCAGCAGAAGTACCTCCAGCCCCTCTCAGCCGCCTCCAGGGGCACTCTCTGGGGCAGGGAGCAGARGTGGCACTTTCCCTTTATTAATAATAGATCAGAGTGAGGGCACAGTGCTTCCCATGGTGTCAGGAAGGCTTTCTTGCCAAGGACAGGAATTACAGGAAAGGGAAAGGTCTCTGCAGAGACTGGGCCTGGACTTGAAATACCCAGAAAGCAAACAGGTGATAAACTGTGCAGGGTGTGCCCAGTTSTGAGCCCCTTTGTCTCCCCTTCCCCACAATGCAGCCTCTAATCTTCCCTTTGCAGTGTGGGTGGGTGACAGGGGCATGACCCTGCTCTCCTTCAGCAGTGATTCCCAGAAAGGTTCCTGAGCTGTGCTGAGGGGCCTCGCTAGGGCCCAAGCATTCCTGGGGCAGGTTAAGGTGCTGACAGAGCTGCACCAGCCAGCAAGGCAACAGGGATGGGGGCATGTGGTGGGTGAGAACAGCCCCTTTCCCGCTCAGTCTTCAAAGAGAGCACACAGCTTCTTGCTTAGCCAGGGCAGGGAGAGGGGTCAATGGCTCTTCCAACCCAACAGCCCCCTCACCCACAGAGCAGAAGGGCACTGAGGGCATCAGGACACTCAATGTCAGTGCTGCACAGTTAATCCCATGMCAGTGAATGCTCCACAGCCTCTTTGTAAAACAGGAACCACAGGAAACATTTTCTCAGCTTGATTTTTAATTTTTATTGKGTAAGAAATGCAATGAGTTTCTCAGCGATTACTGTGATTCTCTTCCCATGTTATCCAACCACCAGCAGTCCAAAACGGGACCCTTCCAGTGCCGAGGAGCAGCACTGGGCAGACTGCAGGACCAAGGTGCACAGGAGCCCAAGGGGCATCAAACCCCATCTGCTTTCCACAGGAGACCAAAATTTCAATCACAGAAATCRGCACCAATCTTCCCAAGGAGTAAGAGCAGTTACAAGCAGAGTTTCAGGAGATAACCCACTTTCTCCTGCCATTGCAGCACCAGATCAGAAGGGTTTGCTCTCTCAGCGTCCCTTGCAGCCCAGCACACAGACRTGCCTCACCCAGAACTCCACTGGGGTCTCACGAGAAGAAACTCCCATTGTCTCCAGCATCCTGAAAGAAGAGTGAAAAGGTCTTGCCCTGCCCCGACAGCTGCCACCTACAACCATAGACAGCCCACCCACAGCACAGGAGTGGGGATGGTGATGGCAAATGCTTCCAGCTGCTGCTTGAGGGTTGTTCTGGTCAGGGARTAAATGAGCAGGCACAGGGATGCCTCCCCTTCCCAGCAGACCCTTCTTGGGGGATGAAACAGATGGGTGAAGATGCAACCACCAATATTTTTCATGCCCTTTGCTAGTTAAAAGCAAGGCAAAGAAACTCACAGAGGTTTCACAGACACATCAATGCAAGCACAGAATTCAGCTACACAGGATCTGCTGTTTAACCCCTGACAAGYATCCACCCCKGGAGGAAGGAGGGAGCACATTCCTTCACTCTCATAGCTTTGAAGGGGTCTGCACAGGGTGCAGTGCATAGGACACGTCCTCCACATCCTGCTTGTTTTCCCAAGCAGTTCTCACCTCTTTTCAGTCTCTTGGAGGAGGGTTCTGGCAGTTTTAGGGTCATTCTTCAGAAAGGTTTGATATGGAGAGGCAGACTCCATGTAACCAACTACACCCTCAAYAGTCATGGGAATTTGGTCATAGATATCAGTGATTCTACATGAGACAGGGGGAAGAAAGAAGCATTGGCAAATTAAATCKCAAAAGCAGTGGAACACAGACAACAGGTTGACAGGGTGGTGAATAAAATACCTGAYACAGTCAAAGGTGGTTCTGCTCACCTCTTCTTGTCTGGGAATGGCAAGGCYTCGAAGATCTCTTTGTAGTTTTCCAATACATATTTTAATCTATTATGTGAGTATTTTAAAATTGTGTCCCAGCACTGTAAAGACAGTGAATTAAAAAAAGCACAAAACTACTTGAAGTTTTCAATTGCAACCTAACTCAGGTTTGGACCTACMTCTGATATATTCATGTGTATCCTTTTTTTAGAAGACTTGTTGCATTAAAATACACCAAAATCTTACTCAGTGTCAAGAATTCAAGGATCCTATTTTATTATAGAAATAAGGGTCCTGTCCTCCCTAAACAGCTCTTATTCATAGTGGAAAGTCTCCTTTTATGCACTTGTTAAAAAAACCTTTGTCCAGAAAGATTACTAAAAAAAAGGACTTCTTCCCAATAGTTCCAACTTTCTAGTATTTTTGCTGTGATCAGGGCAACAGGAGAAATCTCTGGGGCAATACCAGCCCCCAAATCTGCCCTGGCATTCTTCTCACCCCACCACCCCTATTATTCCTCATGATCCAGCCAGCCCTATCTAAATCCTGTTTCAGCCTTCTCCCTGCATTTACCCATGCCTGTCCCCATCCGGCATTAGGATTCCTCTGGTCATACCCCCTCAATCCCAATGCCTTCCTCTCTGAATCCAAGCATTACGCCTTTTCCCCTGCCCTGAGGTTTGAGGAGCTCACCTCCCTGAAGATTTTGGTGAGCTTTTCGGAGCAGTCTCCGTAGCGCAGGCTCATGTCCACAGTGTAGGTGCTGATGGCCACGCAGCCGCCCGGCTTCAGCACCCGCTCGACTTCCTTCATGAACTTCTCAAAGTCAAACCAGTGCGCGGCTGTGAACGAGGTGAGGACGTCCACGGAGGCATYCTGGAACGGCAGCTCCTCTGCAGGGCACACGCTGCAAGGGGCAAGGGAAAAGCCACGTGTGATGTGGGAATTAGAGAGGAGGATGAAGTCAGTGGGTCTATTTTGACAGTTTGGGATGCAAGACMATGGCTATTGGAAGTCTAGGATAAYGCTTGTCCACACCAGGAATTCCATCAAATGGGATTTTCTTTGGTGCCAGCTATGTCATACTCACAAACCACCACCTGCCTGTGCAGACCCCAATTCTGTCTTTGGCTGAGCTTGCTCTCCTGACACTCACAGGTAGGAGATGTTGGGCATGCAGGGGGTGTCCTTGGCCTCCTGGATCTGYGCTTCACTGATGTCCGTCCCCACCACCTTCTTGAAGTGCTCCCCAAGGAAGTGCGTGCCTTGTCCAGACCCACAGCCAACATCCACGGCCAGCTCTGCAGGGATTGCCTTCTGAGGGGAGGAATGTATGTGTCTCAGTGGGCTGCCACCCAATTCCTGTGCTTTTACCCCATTCTTTTCCCCAGCACCCACTCAAGAACAGCCTTGACTTGGCAGAATCTGTGCCCCCATCTTGCCTTGAGCCCGGCTGATTTATCTTCCCCTGAGGCACCAACCAAGGTGACACTCCCAGCAAGGCAAACACTGCCACCCACAATTAAATACTCCTTGGATTTTTCCTCCAGCCTGGCCCTACCCCACTCACTTTTTCCCGCAGGTAGGAGAGGATGGTCTGCTGCAGCTCTTTGCCCGGTGCAAACCTGTATTTCTGGTAGATAGCCGCATGCCCTCTGCCCTCGAACATCTGGGTGGCCATGCTGGGCTGACCTGGCACCTGGAAGGAGGCAGCAAACCGGGAATGTCACACGGGATCAAACTCTGCCGCTTCCTCACTCTCCTGTGACCGCAGGCACTGCAGCCTCCAGTTCCCGGCGGGGCCACGGGGAGGACTTTGCCCRTGAGGCTCCAGCGAGGGAGCCTGAACCTGCTCTCCAAGAATCCCTCCCACAACCCTAAGCTAATCACAAAAGTAAACCAGCGGTGTCCGAGGAGGAAAAGCTTTCCAGGTTTTTACACTCTCCATTAAGGAGTGGTTAAATCCTTTGCTTCCCCCACCCACCCGGGTGTTTTCTCAAATAAATAACCATTGCTGGAATATCTGTAAATTGGCCAGCGACTGAGCAGTGAAGAAGAGAAACTACCAGTAGAACAGGGTTTTGTTTTTTAAGTAAACACGTGCTTTAGTTTAGCAACACATTCACAACTCCACCTTGCGCTTTCTGAACCATCCGCTGGTTTTTGGTCCTTCCCGCTCAGAAGCCACTGGAAGTCTCTTATCCCACTGAGCCCATGGCCACGCGTGGAGGCGAGCGCAGCCCTTGTGCCTCCTGGGCTGCTCCCCGGGCACAGCGCTGCCCGCTCACCCACGGCATCACCCTGGTGCCCCCACCCCGGGCGGTGCCCAGCGCCCATCGCGCCGCCCCGGAAGACTCCCGGCCGTATCCTGTTCGTGTCGGAGCCCGAGCAGGCGCTGTCCGAKGCAGCGGCTGCTCCCGGGGCTCGGCACCGACCCCAGGCACTGCTGTGAGGGCTCCCTKCCCCTTTGCCTGGGAAGGACACCCGCCCGTGTGCCCGCAGCGAGCGGTACACAAACACATCGGGCGACCATTTATTCTGCCTTCATSCAGGAAAAGATGCTCAACCAGCTCCGGGCTGGAGTTTCCAGCCGGGAACAGCAGCGCTGCCAAAGCCCTTTCCGGGGGATCCTCCCGGTGTTTCAGTGCGCTCAGAGGAGCCTTCTCCCCGCAGCCACCCCCGCTCCTTACCGCCGGCAGCCCCCGCACCAGCAGCTCCGAGCGCCTTGAAGTCCGGGACGAACGGGAAGGCGGAGGAAGGCGAGGGACGGCCGGCGCCGCCTCCAGCACCGACCGCCCTTCCCGGCAGCGCGGCCCCGCTGCTCCCCCTGCCCAGCCGGGGCGGTGAAGGCGGCTAAAATCCAGAGGACAGTTTCCAGAGACTCAGTCCCACCAAGATCCTAGAGCCCCGGGAGGCGAGCCTTGGCCTTTACGCGGCTCTGTGGTTACTAATTACAGAGTTACAACTACAGCTTTTAAAATGCCCTCAGATCCTGCGAATGCTCAGCACCCCGCACATCTCAGAAAGCAGCTACAGAGCCCACAAGATGCTCCAAGGTAGCAGGAGAACAGGATTCAAATGCTGCAGGCAGCCAAAGCCATACCTAGAGAGCTCTGTCTGTGCTGCAGTCCCCTCCTGTTGTCCAGAAGAAAGAGATCATGCAGCAAGAACCCCCACCAACAGAACCTGAGTAGCTCAGAGTGCTGATATTTTGGAAGGAGACAATTTGCCCTGATTTGGGGCAGGATTTTACCYCTTCTTCAGGAGAGCAATGTTAATTCCATGCAGCTGAGGCCAAAGGAGCCGTGGTTTGCTGGAAGGACTGTCCCTTCAGTTTGTACTTTGCACAGCAGTCATGGGTCCATGCTAATTAGCACAGCCTTTATGCCACTCCTAATTTTAAGAGAAAGCAGTGAACTTAATCACTGAAGGTGGAGGACAGCTTGAAGCAGTTTGCTAAATCAAAGCATGGGTTGGAGTTCCTGGGCTTGTGTCCTGAGTGTTTTGTTTGGGCCCCCTGTGGCTTCGTTGTGTAGGGATGGTACCTGCATCAAGAGAGGGCAGTTTACAAGAGGGCACAATTACCAAAGCCTCCTGTGTTTTCATRACCCGGCTCTGGGGGCTTTAGACACCCCCATTTTGTCTGTATTTTGCTGAGAGTGTGGCTGCAGACAGGGCTGATGTCCCAGGCTTCAGTCACCTGCCCTGTTCCAAGCTCTGAGGTCCCCGGCTGCTCCCATGGGCCATGCATGAGCTGATGTTTAACTGGGGATCTTCCAGCCTCAGCGGACACCAAACACCTGCAGGAAAACAAAACACCAGCCAGGCACAGGCTGCAGATGGCACCGGGCCTCTCCTAAATTCTCCCAACCTCTGGCACACCGGATTGAGCTGCCTTTGACTCCCCACTCCAACTCCATTGTGCTCCCCAAGRAACAGCTACTCTCTGCTGGCCCGGCACCACGCAGCAATAAATTGGTCTCCACCTTTGGGTTGCTGAGCCTTGGGCCAAATGTGGGTTTGAACACCAGGCACAGAGAATCAGACACTGTCCATCAYCCCTGCCAGGCCCTCTCATTAAATCCATAGGCCAAAGTGCCCTGGGGTCTGCCCAGTTTGTTTGCCAAACCTGCAGGCCCTGTGGRTTTCAATAATACAGCAGGCTCCTAGATTAATAGACCTTCACTGGCAATGCATCTCACTCTAAAATTTATGAAAACTGAATCAATCTATTTTAGGGAAAAAAAGCCCAAAGGGGACTCCAGTCAATCCTTYTATGTCAGTTGTTGGTATTTTTCACCAACAGGTTTCCCTATGCTGCTGCACTTAATTTACAAATTGTTTTAAATTTCATTTCAGCTTTGATGGACTCAGAAGCCCTTTGAGGGACCACAGTGGAGGGAGGATACCCAAAGGGCTGCGTGGGCTGGGGGCCACCTCCCCATCCCCAGGATCCCCTGAAGAGCCGGTGCTATTTCTCTTACCTTGTGGAAAACCTGATTTGATTTTAAGATCCGTGTAAGGCTTTGGCTCTCAGGAGATTCTCCCGTTTATTCCTCTGATGGAAAAAGAGCAAGATTTACCACCACAACTAGGAATAAACGGATTGGAAAATAGTTGGTATTTCTACAAGGATCTTTTTAAACCTACAGGGCTCAGACTAAATTAATGAAGAACATAATTCTCCTGGCTTAAAAGCAGTGGGGTATGGGTAAATCTCAGTGTAGGGAAGGGAGCTATCCACAAATCAAGGATGTCTCAGTTGATGTGTTASAGCTGTGCCTCAAGATCTCAGCTGGAATCAGGGCTATCCCTGCCTGCTCCCTGGCATTTRCAACCCAGGAAAAATCAGTGTTTGTGTCAAAAGAGAACCCAGATAAACACAGACATAGAAGATCAACCAGAGAGGGGAGGGAGGAAGGAATCCCTGCAGCAGCGACTCTTTTGGAGGATCGAGTCCATGCCCGTGCAATTGCCGGATCCTTGCAGTCGCTGGTGATTGTCGTGCTCCAGCACACAAAAGGCTGGAGGGGAACAAAGGCAGGCAGGGACACGCTCAAGGGCAGAGGACGAAGCCTGCAGAGGAGAGCGCCCTTGACTTTGCAATCCTGCCTCGCCCCTCGCCCCTCGGCTCATCCGGCCATAAATCCTTCCTGACGGAATGATTGATGAGCAGCGCSGGCTGAGAGCAAAGCCCAGCGCTGGGGGCTTCCAGAAACAATGACAGCAAGTCCTTCTCCCATTGTTTCACCTTTTAATTAAGGGAGATGGGAAATCTGATTGCGGGGACAGTCCATTAAATGAAATTTAGAAGCCACCTGAGAATCCGTGCCAGAGCAACCTGAGATGTCCCATTCCCCACACGGGGGCTCGATCCACTGCTGATGAATTAACAATTCTGGAATTAAAAAGAGGGAGAGAAATGTGAGCTCAGACTGATCTCATTTAACCTTCCCTTGCACGCACATGCTGGGCACGAGGATGTAGTAGCTGATATGATTACATCTGCTGGYATAAGCAGAAAGTCCAGTGGCATCAGGAAGCTGCTGCACTAAAATTAAATAATGCTTGGGGATGTGCGTGGCYGAACCAGACTCAGAGCAATTGCTCTGGGATTGGCTGATACCTGACGGGCTGTTCTGAAATGCAAACAAATCTGTGGCRATTAAACGAGATCCTAGGACCATCTCAATTCTTAGTTAAATCATCTTAATAATCTTAATTCAAAAGTTTAAGCTTTTCCTTCTTGGGGTCCCAGCCAGGCATGTAAGACAGGGAGGAAGAAATGAGAAGGGAGTAATATTTTAGGCTCTTCTTCCTCAAAAGCCCCTGCATYAGGAGACAGCCGAGTCCATCTCCCCCTGCCCATTTCCCACTGGAGTTCCCAGGATCACAGCCCTGTGTCCCCAAAGCCAAGTGGGAACAGGCCTGGAAGTGTAGTGGTGCAGAGGGTTGGAATGGGAGGATTTTTGATTCTAGCCATGCCATGATGGCCGGTGATGGTCTGTTTCAGTGGGGGCACGAGACCTGGAGAATGCACAGCAGATGCTGTACAATGTGGCATCGAGAGAACTACAGAGGGGTGCAAGAGGATGCAGCAGGGTGTGGGAAGATGCAGGAGGCTGAGGGATCATGCAGAAGGCTGCAGGAGGATGCAAGAGAGTGCATGAGGATCCTCATCACCCTCTTAGAAGTTGTGGGAGGCTGCAGGAGAATGCAGGATGTGCAGGAGGATGCAGTGGGATGGAGGAGGGTGCATGAGCATGCAAGAGGGTAGGGGAAGATGCAGGAGAAAAAAGGAGGGTACAAAAGGGTTCAGGAGGATGCWGAGATGTACATCAGGTTGTGGGAGAGTGCAGCGGGTGCAGGAGGATGCAGGAGGGAGGAAGAGGTGCAGGGGGTTGCAAAGGAAAGCGGGAGGATGCAGAGGAATGATGCAGGATGTCGGAGAGCGCAGGAAGATGGTGCAGGAGGGCCTTTCAAGGAGGACGCAGCAGCCCACATCCCTGAGCCGCCGCTCCTGCGGGGCCGTGCCGGGCAGGGCAGAACCGGGCAGGGCGGCGGGGGCGGTGCAGAACCCGGCCCGGCCCCGCTGGGGCGGGGTAGGGGACGGCCGTGGGGCCGGCCCTGCCCGCCCTGCCCTGCCCGGCTCTCCGGCGGCGCCGATGGGGCTGCGGGCTTGGCTGCGATCGCTCGGCGGCTGCTGCGGCTGCTGCGGCGGGGAGGCGGCGGCGCCCGAGAAGGAGCCCCTGCTCAGGTGAGACCGGCCCGGCCTCCGCGGCGGATGCGCCCTCCCGGGCCCCGGCCAGGTGCGAGCCCCTCTGCGCCCCGCTGTCCCCAGCCCTGCTGTCCCCAGCCCCGCTGTCTCCAGCCCCGCTCCCGCGCTGTCTCGGCATCCCCTGCCGGAGCGCTCGAAGCTCCGGAGGGATCTTTCCCCGGCGGGAACGCGCCGCTTCCCGTTCTCTTTCCGCCCGGGTCGGCTGCTGCCGGGGCTGGGTTCCTTCTGGCAGCGCCGGGCGCGATGCCCGMAGCATCCCCTCGGTGTTCCCCGTGCTCGCGTCCATAGGGACGGTCCAGCGCTTGTCTCTCCACGGTGCGATTTCARTTGAGGCACTCAACAAATCGGGGCGCCCTGCATTCCTACCCAGGGAGTCGGGTCCCACYGTCGGGCAGCTCTGGGCTGAGCAGAGCTCTGTTCTCAGGCTGGCATCACAGAATCCCAGAATGGTTTAGGTTGGAAGAGACCTTAAACCCCATGAAGTTCCACCCCTTGCCAGGGGCAGGGACACCTTCTGTTATCCCGGGTTGCTCCAAGCCCTGTCCAATCTGGCCTTGGACTCTTCCAGGGATGGGACAGCCACAGCCTCTTTGGGTAACCTGTGCCAGGGCCTCACCACCCTCACAGGGAAGAATTTCTACCTAACATCTAATCTGGGTCTCTTCTCTTCTGGTTTGAAACCATTCCCCTTTGTTCTGTTGCTATCTGCCCCTGTAAAAAGTCTCTCTCCCCTTCRGGCACTGGAAGGGGCTCTGAGGTGTCCCTGGAGCCTTCTCTTCTCAGGTGAACACCCCYGTCTCTCGCAGCCCTGCTCCATTCAGGGATGCCGGAACAGAGATGATGATGCGCAGCCAGAGCCGGCTTTCTGCGTGTGCTGCTCWCCGGGGAGCAGCTCCTGCTCTCCTGCTGTCGGTCACATCTGCTTTGTGCACAGAACGAGAGGCTGGGGCTGTTGTGCGAGCAGATTCTCCCTGGCTCGTGGAGAGGGTTTTGCATGCAGCAAAACATCCGTGCGGGGGGTTGCGGCAGCTCTCCCTCCTTGGCCAGTGCCAGCCGCGGTCCTGGCACCTCAGAGGGCGTCCCAGCTCCTGGCTGGGGCAGGGACCATGCTCTCCCTGCGACAGAGCCGTTTTGGGAAGGAGGGTGGGATGCTGCCCTACATCGGCTTCAGGTGACTGCAGAGCCGGTGCCGTGCGGCTTGAAACGTCCTGATCTCGAGCTGGTAAAGCAGTTACCTAAATAATRACCAGTTAATCCCAGGCACGGGGCCTCCAGCCCAGGAACCTGGCATTAACCTCCCGGGAGCCGAGCACACGTGCGGAGAGGCYCCTTCCTGCTGCCCCGTGGCCACGGTGGTTGTCCCTCACCTGGCACCTCGCTTTAGTGACACGCCTTCCRCCGGCGATCCAGTTAATGCTGGCCCTAAGTAGGAAAGCTTCTCTAAATTCTGGGAATTCGAAAAGCACCTGCTCTTGTGCAACTGTGCCAGCATAATTAATCTAACAGCCTAATCGCTGGCTTGCCCCTCCTCGGGGGGCTGTGGGGATTTTGCAAGAGCTTGATGGCTATATTTCTGTTTTTACTGCAGTGTTGTTTAAAATTAATGGATTGTTTGAGATTTCAGATCTTTTAGTTGAGTTTTGGGTGTAGGAGCTGGTGTTGCAAAGCATCCAGACTGTCTGGTTATCTTTTGATGTGTGATGGTGGGTTCTGGCTTGGAYGGTGTACTCAGGATGAAAATAAACTAAATATCTGGGCTCCAAATCCCAAAATTTAATGTGAAYTGAAAGCGCTCTGGAGCAGAAATCTGTTGATGAAGCACTGGTGCTCACCATTTCCTGGATGAAGTCCAGGGTGTGAAATACTCTGAGTCCCTTCTGGTCCCACGGAGATTCCTTAACCTGCAAAGCCACTGCTGTTCATGTGCTCCTTTTTTCCCCTCCAATTTCTCCCTTTTCTCAATGTTGCTTGGAGGAGTTGTTGGCAGCTCTCCATGTTGGTATGGATTTGCTGACTCCTGGGCAGTGCCCACATGCCTTGCAGGATGCTCCGTGCTGTGATTTGGAAATGGGAATGCGCTGGGAAGTGTCTTGCGAGCTGGGAGGGAGGGAGCGGCTCAGAAAAGCTCAGGTGTGGCAGTGATATTGCCAAATGYGGCTGTTTTAAGTAATTCAAAGGTTAAGGGTTCTGTAAATGCCTGGGTGGGAAGAAGCCTGTGGAAGGTGGGATGGGAGTGATCTCCTGCTGGTGGCACWGCTGGCTCCTCTGTCTACTCCACAAGGGAAAAACGGCTGTGCCCTCCACACCCTCCAAGTTACTTTCCTTTGCTTGTCTTTAATGAGAGATTATAAGAGATTATCTTTCCCCTTATTACCTGTTGCTCAGGTTTTYGGTTTGTTGAAAGTCTAATTAACCTTCCTGCTGGAATGCTGATGGAAATTAGTTTCATTCCATTTCATCTATATGCTGGAGCTCCTCTTAGCATCTTTTTATGGCTTGGTGTCATGGCACCCACAGTTTTATCTGAAGTTTCTCTGGATGGGCTCCTYAGGAAAGGAATGGGGTTTGGGTAGCAAACACAATAAGCAGTGGGTTGTTCTAGCAAGAGTTGCCACAGGGTGGTAAGGCCAAAAATAGTTCTCCACTTGTATTGTTCTGCCCAAGTGCCTGGACATCTTGATTGGACACTTTATGGAATCCCCTGCTAAAAGTTCTCCATGCAGAAATGCCCCTGTTAAAAAAGTGCATATCCCAATAGCAACATGAAGGCATGAAACACACAACTGCCCCAGTGCAGAGAAAAGCTCCCCACCTCCGTGAGGACAACCTTCCCAGCAGCTGATGCTCAGCTTTGCTAAGCAAATGAAGCCTGGAGTTCATTAGAAGGCTGAGGACATTTTCTTTTCCAGAAAAGATGGGGCTCAATGTCCTTTCCATGCCTTGTCTGTTGTTGCACAGCTCAGCCCATCCCTGCAGCTCTGACGTAGGAGCTGAGGGCTGGGGTTCCCTGTGGGCTCTGCCTGTGTGATTTGGTTTGAGCCTGCCTGCTCAGGATGTTTGCTAAGGTAAAACATCTGTGTCCCCATGCCCTGCTGCTCCTGCCCCTCCCCTCTGGCACTRGAAAGGCACCAGGAATCAGCTCGGTGCTGACTCTGCCTGCCCCTCTGTCCTGCAGTAACAACAACCCCTACGCGTCCTTCGGAGCCACGCTGGCGCGGGATGAGGAGCAGAACCTGTGGAGCACCCCCCACGACGTGACCCACACCGAGGCCGAYGACGACCGCGTGCTCTACAACATGATCGTGGTCAGGAACCAGCTGGACAAGGACTCGGAGGTGAGGCAGCGCCCAGGGCTGGGGCTTGGGGCTCTGGGCACTCCACAGGCTTTGGCAGTGCCTGGTTAATCACAGAATCCCAGGATGGTTTGGGATGGAAGAGACCTTCAAGCTCATCCCGTTCCACCCCCTGCCAGGGACCACCTTTCACTGTCCCAGGTTGCTCCAAGCCCTCTCCAACCCAGTCTTGGACACTTCCAGGGATCCAGGRGCAGCCACAGCTCCATCTGGGCAGCCTGTGCCAGGGCCTTCTCACCCTCACAGGGAAGAATTTCTCTCCAATATCCAATCTAAATTTACTCTATTTCAATTTGAACCCATTTCCCCTTTTCCTGTTACTCCAGGSTCTTGTACATAGTCTTGCCCTATCTTTCCCTTAGGTTCCCTTCAGGCCCTGCAAGGCTGCAGTTGGGTCACGCTGGAGCCTTCTCCAGGCTGAGCAATCCCAATTCTCTCAGCTTTCCCTCACAGCAGAGCTATTCCATCCCCCTGATCATCTCAGTGGCCTCCTCAGCTCCATGTCCTCCCTTCACCTGAGCTGCTGTAAAGATTCAAAGTCCTTCAGTGTGGCTCATGTAGGCATCAGCTCCTCCCACCTGTTCTGTCACTCTCCAGATTTTATCCTGTATCTTGTGTGATTGTCTCTGTGGCCGCCTCATCCCTGGGAAACTTGGGGGCATCTGAAGCATCTGAGCCAGGAGGATCTTCCCTGAGGTGTCCTCATCTCTGTCGTACCCTTGGCTTCACCTCCCTCACTCTGGAGAATCTCTGTGTTCTCCTTTGGATACTTTCAATGCCCTCCCTGGGCATTAATTGCCTCCAGAATATTTTGTGCCCCCATTCSAGATCCCCTGCAGAAATCTCTGTTTCCGCACACCTTTGTACACAGTACCAAAACCAAGGGCTGTGGAGGAGTTGAGGGAACACAGCAGCTGAAACATAAAAACCAAGGAAGGYGGGAGGTCAGAAATGAGCTACCTACATCCAGGGGTGTGGGAAAAGACTTAAGGCAGGCTTGAGATGGAATTCTTGTGGAAGGGAACTGAGAGGAGTAATAGAAGAGGCAAAAAGGAAAAGAAAGTGATAGGGAGTAGGAAGAACATGAGGAAGACGCTTTACAGATTTGTTCGATGAGTATCAGGAAGCAGAGAGATTCCAGGGAGGTTTCCTGGGCATTCACTGCAGCTGGAGCATGCATGGCAATGATGCCCTGCAACCACCACAACCCAAAGATGTGTACTGGGAGCACTGGGGCCTTCAGCCCCACGTCCTGGCTTCCCAGGCTGCTGTTCTGCTTCGATATTCCCGTGGTTTGTCCTTTCCATGGCCAGGCTGACATTTGCCTGTCCCTGGCAGTGCCCAGAGCTCTGCTGCCGCTCCAGGGACGTGTCAAGTTCAATCCTTCTCCAGTGGGATGCACGGCAATTATCGGGAAGCAGGGAACTGGCACAGCTCTTAGTGGGAAGGGAAACCATGGCTGTTACATAAAGGCTGTTTTGCAGCCCTGATTTCCTTTCCTAAGGCACTTCAGCGCAAAGGAGATTGCAGTGCCCTGATTAGGAGCAGGCTGTAGCAAACAGTGACACATTTTCCCCCTCTCTGATTGCTTTCATGACTCCAGAACGTTTGCAGGAAAGCCTGGAGGCTTTGTGTTTAACTTCAACATGATCCTGCTTCATCTAAGAGTGTGCAAGAAGGTAACTGTTCCTCCTGTGACAGCCTCRGTAAAGCAAAAGCCAGCTCAGCTTTACAAGGAGCCCTAAACTCTAGAGAGATCAAACTTACAATTAGTAATAAGCTAAATGAGGCAATGGAATCCTTGCATACAGTTGGCCAGAATCCCCATTTCATGTGATTTTTTTTTGGGTGAGTTTGATTTCATCATGGTATTTACAATAGATGGTTTTGTAACAACATTTTCATKGTGGCATGTGATCTTTACAGCTCTAAGAGATCTCCTCTTCCCTCCCCACTGCTGCTCTCTCTACCTTACAATTGCTTGTCTGACAGAAGCCAGGGAGCTTCATCCATCCCAAAGTGGCTGAAGGAAGCAAGGAGAGCTCCATTTATTGGGCACAGGAGCGTTGTGTGTCAGCCTTGTTCAGGGAGAGAGGAGACCATCAGTTCTGGGTGAGCAGGAGASTGCTCCTGCCCCTAAACCCAGTGTGCCTGCCTCCCCTAAATCCTGCCCTTTTTGTTGCCTTCAATGTATCTGTGGGGTTTTTAGGGGGTCTGAGCAGCCCCTGTGCTTGCTAGGAAAGCCTGAAGCTCCTGGGGCTTCCTCTCCACACCAAAGGTGGGGTCACACCCCCTGCTTTTTCATGCCATGCAATCGATGAAAGCCTTAGGGGCACAACACCAGGACAGCAGTGAGGAACGTTTTGAGGAAAGTTTTGAGGAAAGCCAACGCACTTTACCCTGCCTTTGAAAGCAGCCCCATGCCCTTTGCAGCCCGGGACTGGCAGCAGCTCTGCTGTCMCCTCTTGCAGCTGGGAAACTGAGGCAGCACAGGGAGGCCCAGCAGGCTGCTGCAGTCTCCAGCTGCAGCTCTTGCTGCGTGGCAGGACAGGGAGGGGTTTGGACGGCCAAGCCAACATTCCTGTGCTTGGCCCTGGGTGCCAAAATCTCTCCTTACTCTGGCAGGCATTTTAAAACTAGGCCAGGCTGCAGTGCCCTCCCCTCCTAACAAGACTTCAGCTCGGAGAGAGAAAAAAGTCTAATTGCAGAACAGCACTGGACTGCAAAAGCCATAATCTGCTTTGGGGGCTGCTCTGCTCCCGAAATCCCCAGGGAGAGCCTGTGGGTACTRCAGGACTGGGAATGGAGGAATGGTTTCCTTGTGCAATGCACAAGTGTTGTGAAATCATAGGTACTTTTCTTCCTGTGGTTAAAATTGACTGAAAGGAGAACTTGCTGTATTTCTGCTCCTTCATTTAACAAAGAAATTCTGRTGTGCAGTTCACTCACTCACTGTGTGTTTTGCCATTCTCCACCTTTATCTCAGGGATTTCCCAGCACAGGTCTTTGGAAGGATCCCGAAGTGCAGACCACTCTCCATCGTGTGTTCTTTGTGTGGCACCTTCTTGGCAGGGTTGGTGTCCTTCCTTGGGGTCAGTTCCTGGCCCCCACCATGGGGCTGGACCCAACAGTGGATCCATGTGGAGCGATGTCTTTGCCCTGGCCCTGCTGGCTGCCCTGCTCTGGGAAATTTGACAGCTCCAGCCCGAACTYAGTGTGTCCTCAGCTTGCATAGAGAAAACCAGGAAAACCATTCTGRCTTGAGGGGCTGGTGAAGCAGATGCAGCCTTTGAAGATCAGAGCTGTCACCAAGGCTTTTGAAGGCTGGGGTCATGTCTCAAATATGGGAAAAATGTTTGGGTTTTTTTCTCTGACTCCTGCTGTGCAGCATCGTTGAACCTGTTGTGGTGTAAAGTCAGATCTGGTGGTGAAATGAGCAGCAAGGGCTGCACATTTTTGGGCTAATGAGTGTGAGGTGGCAGAGGTCCCCTCCMCAGGGTCCAGTCTGGGCTGGTCCTGGTTTGCCCACGTCCTGTGGTGGGGTGTGTGGAGTTTCCCAGCCATGGGCAGGGAGCTGTGCACCAGTTCTGGCTTCAGAGAGGGAGCCAGGGCTGAGGCAGCTGTGCCACGGATCTGGAACAGAAACTAAAGGTGACATTTTGCATGATGAGTGAGGAAAGCCCCCTGTTTTTGTGGCTTGCTGTAAATGCAGAGTTTCTCTCCTTTTGGCTGATTCCCTAGGGAAAGGTGGGATCACAAACCCCACTAGCAAAGGGAAAGGTGGGATCACAAACCCCACTAGCAAAGACAGTTCCTCAGCCTCCATCCCTGCTGGCAGAGCATCTCTGGCATGATCCTCCTGAAAAGCCCATTAATCAGCTGGCAAGGCCTATTTTTTTTTTTTTTCGTCCTCCTGCTCTCCTGCCGGATTATTCTTTTTTAAACAAGTTACAGAGAAGGTCAGTATTGGACCAGCTGTTGCTGGGCCATAGAGAGGTGATGGGATTTATCCAGGGCTGGGGAGCCCAGACACAACCCTCTTACTGTCTGCATGTCTCTCTTAAATTGAATCCAATTTAAGCTTATTCTACGATGAGATGTTGGTTAATGCATCTGCAGTTTGTATTTGCTCAACTATTTCCAGTGGAGCCAGAGCAAGAACATCCCTGGTACCTGCCTGGACTGATATTTTGCATTCTTTCCCTGATAACTCTGTTTTGACCTCATTTCTAAAACAATTCTTGAACAGAATGGTGACCTCAATTGCTTTTAAGAGAATAAAGGCAATGGATTTGGTAGAGGATTGATCTGGCAACTTGAAGAAAGCTCCAGAGTAATTAGGAAACTTYCATATGATGGGGGATGAGAAGTTGGACAGTGTTGCCTGTTCTCTTGGCACGTTTTTTTTTTCCAGAGCTCTGAGTTATGCACCAGCCTGGCTTATTCCATGTCATTTGGCATTTGCAGATTTAGTTTCTCACTAGAGAGTCTGGRGAAGTTTCCCAGGTAAATATTTGAAGGGCTGAGCATGTAGAGAAGGGAGGCAGGGGGTTTCCCTGCTGCTCTGGGGGTGKTCTCGACTCACACACTCAGGGTTTTCTCAAGCTCTCACTGGTGTTTGTTGTGCCCTGCTCTGTGGGGTGAAAGGGCAAAACTGGCGCAAAAAACAGGGCTGGGAACTGCAACCTGCCTTGGTTTCCTGTGGTTAACTCAGATTTTGGCAGAGGAGTATTTCTGAAAGGGCTGCGTTTGAGTGCGTGGCTGGGATGTCCCAGGAACACCGCAGGTTTGGAGTTTCAGTCTCCCCCTGTGCTTTCCMGGTCCCAGCCCCAGCAGTTCCCTCTGGCTCCCCCAGAAGGCCGAGGGAGAGGGGTTTGGGGTGGAGCCGCCTGCCCTGCGGGGCTGAGCAGCCTCGTGATGCTGCCTGCCCCTCCAAAGGCTCGCTGGTGACTCAGGGGCGTGATGGGAGCACCCTGCCCAAAGCCTCTGATGTGCCCTTGCCTGGGCACGGGCAGGGCAAGCTTTGCTCTTCCTGTGCTGTGTAGCTCAAAGGAGATGCTTTTTAGAATAATTTCGGGTGTGGAGAGATGCTCTTGAGTTTATTCCCTCATTAAAGCTGCAGGGAGGACAGCCCACKGCATTTAGGATGTCTCTGCTGCAAGGGATCTCCTGGGAAAACCCAGTGGTTTCTGATGAGAGAACTGATGGAGAGCAGGGCACGAGTTCCTTTGGGAGCTCAGCCCAATCTCATCCTGATAATCTCTGCTTCCCTGGCTGCTTTTCCATGGCTGAGAGCATCATCCTTCCAGCTTTCTACAGAAATATAAACACGTTCAGCTTCAGGCTCAGGCAAAAGAAATCCCACCAGAACAAGAGGCCCCACCCAGGCACCAAATTTTCTGTACYAAATCCGTTCCTTTGCACAGTCCCCAAATTCTCCATCAACAGGACACTGTCAGAGCTCCCCTGGCACTGAATATTCACCATATTCACTTCCATAACACAGCTCAGACCCCACAATGTACAAGAAAGCCATAACCTAGATTCCCTTAAAACAAAAATAGACAAGGGAAAACACGCTGCTGTTAATCCAGAGAAAATCAGGAGCAGCTTCTCTGCATGCTAAGCACTGCTGACCGTGCTTAGCAGGGAGTCTGGCTCCTGCCATGGGGTAAATCCCCACAGCCCTGAGAGCTGTTGCTGRGTGCCAGCATGCCATGTTTTGTGGAGAAGAGCATCTTTCCCAGTGTCCCAGCTCCCTGGCTCCGCAGTGGGAAGCACGCCCGGGATCGCAGTGGCTGTCTGGATCGATTGTGTGCAGTGAAGGCCGTGTTTATCTCCGTGGGAGGGCAGAGACATGCAGAATCCCCCACCCCAGCATGCCCAGACTGGCTCCCTCTCTTTTCTGCCTGTACCAGGGGGTCATGAAAGGCCTGGGGCGTTTCCAAGGAATCCCTGCCACAGGGGACCAAGGCATCATGCACTTTTTCAATCTCTTTCTAAAACCGCTCAAGTTTTCAATAAACTTCCCACAAAGCTTTAACACAATAACCCCCCTTTCCCTTTCCACCCAGAGGAGCTCAGTTCCCWGCTCCGAGCCGCTGTCACGGGAGAGTCTTGCCCCTGGCTTTTTTCAGCTGCTGCCCCGTGCTGGCAGGCAGGTGCCCTCCTGTGCAAAGCAAACAGCAAAGCTGTTCTCAAGTGCCACTTGAGGAGAGAGGGAAATGTGCCTCTGGAAGGGGATTTTGTTTGCTGGGAGTGAGCGGCCATGGCAGAGCCGGTTCCGCTGCTCTCCTGACCTGAAGTCACCACTGCCTTAACCCCGCTGGCTGCTTTTTCCAAAGTGTAATCTCCCAGGGCTTCCTAGTGCTGAGCGGCAGGAAAACAGGCTTGGCTTTAAATCTCTTCAGTCATGGTGTGTCAGTCACATTCAGGAAAAAAAACACTGAGGAACCTTCAAATCTTTATGGGATCAAGTCAGCTCTTTGACCAAGTAGCAGAGAACAGTGGGATTTCTAACATGCAGCCGACCTCTGTGGGTATTGTTTGTCTGGACTGAACCCAGCGTGGCCTGTAGGAAAATCTCAGGGTGATGGCACAGATTAACACCTGTTTATTCTACAGGAGCCCATCTAGGTAATCTCTTGCTGAGAAATGAGATTAATTAAGGTTATTACTTCAAGGAAGTTATTAGGTGATGTTGTGACCTTTCTGTTGGGCTGCTTCTAAAAATGAACCCTTTGTAGTATGTGCATTGATTAAACACAGCTAGGAACAGCTGGGAAAAGTGGTTGTGTTGCAGAGCACRTACATTTCCATGGGAATTTATGCTTGTGAGTCGTGGAATCATTTGGGTCGGAAAAGTCATCTAAGATCATCAAGTCCAGCCATTAACCCAGCACTGCCAAGCCCACCACAACACTTGTGCAGTTGGGTTTAAATGCAGTGGTGTGACTTTAATAAATAACCCCAAACCTTTCCCTCATACACAGCATCCCATTATCCAGCCCTAAAGCTGGAGATCCAGTGCAAGGATTTCAGCTGTGCAGGGAAGTGAGGCATTGACTGCAGCCACTGGCAGCCACCGAGGGTTATTTTGTCAGATGACTCCAGTTCAGCCCTCATCCACCCACAGATACCTCTGTCCTTTCAAAAAAGAGTACCCTGATTTTCAAAATAGTCTATTTTTCTTGTTTTCCAGTACTTTTGAACACCTGCCAGCTCCAGTTCAGTGCCAAACAGAGGGCTCCATGTGTGACTGAAAAGCAGTTGTCAGCAATACTTGAATTAAATTCTGTAATTTCAGGGAACCTGGAAGTTGTTTTGAATGGAGAAGATACAGAGATGCTGAACCAAGTGTCAAACTGAATATTCTGTGTTATTGTGATTTCTTCAGGGGAAACAGCAGCCTGGTCATGGAKCTTCCTACCCACCACCCTATAGCTCAGTGCCTGCACCAGCTCTGCACCTCTGGCTCCCATCCTCACCACTGAAATTCCTTGAAAAGCAGCAGATTTCAGTSACTGAGTGTCTCTTATCCCTTTGCAGGAGTGGCAGAAGCTCAACTATGACATTTATACCTTACGGCAGACCCGGAAAGAAGTGAGGAGCAGGTGGAAACACATTTTGGAGGATTTAGGTAAGCTGGAGACCAAAAGGATGCAATTGCAGYGATACTGAGTGACAGATCCCACCATGGCTGAGGGTGGGAATGGCTCCACAAAACCAAGCTGGAGAGGAGGGAAGGAAAAGGAGGTTACTGAGTGATGCCCTGGGGTGTTCCACATGGGACAGGTATGGAGGGGWGGGGACAGGGACACCGTGTTTGCAGGCACGTCAGAGTCCCATGAGCCACGATCACTTTCCAAGCCCATAATAACATGCACAGCCACTCATTTCGARCTTCCTTGGGGAAACCTTGCAGTGGGAGTTCACCCTGGGTTTTTCTAAACAAGATAAGCAGGAAAGAATGAATATTCTTTTCAGATGGAAGCACAGATAGATCTATTTTGCTTCCTTAGCCCATGGCAGCTGTTCAGAACTAAGCCACTCACCTTGTTTGCTCCCAAGTGGATTTGAAATATTCTTTCACTGAGTGCAATTGCTCTACAGAAATGTTCCTGCTGCTGTTTCCAAGTGGTGGTGGGTGGGTGTGATGGGGTTTTCCCAATTGCCTGGCACACAGCCTGTGACACTCTGGATGTGCCAGCACATCAGCTGGGTGACTTCCATCGTGCTCTGGARGTGGTTGGTGGCTCAGTAGAGGAGGATGAGTGAGTCTATTCCAGGCTATCCTCGCTGGGAGCCAGAGATGGTATCTCAGCCACTCCTGCCCTACCTGCTATTCTCGTATCTGGGTGGGARGAACACATAAATCCATAATGAGGTGTCAGCCCTCATCTCCACCCAGCCTGTGCAGGCCAAGCATGGGAGGGATCACTTGGCATCCTTCCATTTGTTACTGCCGGCTCACAAAGGCTCTCCCACATCCCCCTCACATCAGCCATGACTCTGGAGATGTTTTGCAAAGGCAGGGGAAGCTCAAGGCCGGGGATCATTTGGCCTTAGCAAAGTTAAATGAGTAACCAGATGTGAAACCTRCTATCTTCTGTTATCCAAGCCTCTGCTTCAATCAGAAGCCCACTGCTCTTACCCCACAAGTGTTTTCATGTGAGATGCATCACCACCAGCCCCCTGGAGCTGAACAAGAGTTAATGGTAGCCATTGAATATAAAGGCCCCTGCTTTAATTCTACTCCCCCTTTCTTTCCCTGGATACCCTTCTTGTAATGGATGTGTACTGCTATAGGAACCATTAGCCTGGCATTCATTACTGCYACAGGTTTTATCCCTATTACTCCCCAACAACATACAGTGGTAGTCACTGGGGTGCTTAGGAAGCCCCACCAGCCCTGAAAGCTCTGGCAGCATCAGGAACATRGAAGAGCTGAATCAACACCCTGGGTTGTGCGTGCTCACACACCTTTTCTCAGGAAAACCAACAGCGAACTCACTGTAAATACTTTTGTGATTTATTTTCCACACCAGCAAGTCTACACCTGTCCCACAGGCTGCCTGAGGGAGTGCTGGTTTGCTTTAGGAAGTAGGGATGCAGCTACCCATGGTAGTGGGAGAATAAGGAACCTTGCAAGGGCCTGAAGGGCTCAGGGATGACCCTTCCCTCACGTTTGGCTTATTCCTGTAACACATCTCTTTCCCAGGTTTCCAGAAGGAAGCAGATTCCCTCTTGTCAGTGACCAAACTCAGCATCATCAGTGACTCTCAGAACATGAGCAAAGCTCGAGACATCCTGTTAAAGCTCTCGGAAGAGACAAACATCTTCCCGACCAGCTGGGAGCTTTCCGAGCGCTACCTCTTYGTGGTGGTGAGTACTCGGAGCACAGCTCCCCTCCTGTTATCCCAGCCCTGCAGGGAACTCCGGGAGAGAGGAGGTGACCACAGGATGCTCGGATACACCTGGGCTGATCCTGTCAGATGTTGCAGTTGCAGCTTGGCTGTTCATTTTCCGTGGAAATGCCAGTGTTGCAGTGCCAYGAATTCCACACCTCTCTGCAAGTTCTGTGCCACTGGATGCTCTGGCACCCCGTACACAAAGCGGGAAAAGATGAGATGTAAYGCCTTGCTTGGCCTGAGAGCAGCTGTGGAGGGAGGGCCCGGGCAGGGAYGTGCCTGGAACATCCACAGTGACCATAATTCCCGTTGTTTGGCAGGACCGGCTCATCGCCCTGGACGCCGCGGATGAGTTCTTCAAGATGGCCAGCGCGGCGTATCCCAAGCGGCCCGGCGGGGACAGAGGGGACGAGGGCCCCAGGGCTCTGCACAGTGTCCCTGCCACGGTGCCCTGAGGAACTTGCCTCGCCGGTGTGACACGGACAGTATCCAGGACAGGCTCCTCTGCCCAGGGGTGACACGGACAGTGCCCGGGACAGGCTCCTCTGCCCTGGGTGACAATGGACAGCGCCCGGGACAGGCTGCTCTGCCCGGGGGTGACATGGACAGCGCCTGGGACAGGCTGCTCTGCCCGAGGTGACACGGACAGCACCCGGGACAGGCTGCTCTGCCCGGGGTGACACGGACAGTGCCTGGGACAGGCTGCTCTGCCCAGGGTGACACGGACAGTGCCTGGGACAGGCTGCTCTGCCCAGGGTGACATGGACAGCGCCCTGGGACAGGCTGCTCTGCCTGGGGTGACATGGACAGCGCCTGGGACAGGCTGCTCTGCCCGGGGGTGACATGGACAGCGCCCTGGGACAGGCTGCTCTGCCCGGGGGTGACAATGGACAGTGCCCGGGACAGGCTGCTCTGCCCAGGGTGACACGGACGGTGCCTGGGACAGGCTGCTCTGCCCGGGGGTGACAATGGACAGTGCCCGGGACAGGCTGCTCTGCCCAGGGTGACACGGACGGTGCCTGGGACAGGCTCCTCTGCCCGGGGGTCAGCACCCAGCACCCTCCTTGTTTCCCCGTGGAGAAGCGAGCGGGCGGCCAGAAAAGGGCGGAGAGGCCAGCGAGCCATGCCCAGCGAGAACTGCCCTAGAGTAGCCCAGTGGGCCACCACTGGCCAATAGTATGTGCCACAGGCATGGGGAGGGAGGATCTGCCACACAAGAACCSCAAAGCTTGAGGTGCCTCCAGCTCCAAGGGCTGCAGGGAGATCCGTGTTTCCACCTTCCACTGGTACCTGCCACTGTCCCCTCCCTCGAGCCTGCCAGCCAGGAGGAGCAGCGAGAGAGGAAAAACACCTCCAGCATCTACAACTCCGTGATTCTGCACACTGGTGCTCTTCCTCATTCCCAGCCCTCCAGGCAGGTCCCAGAGGATTTGGGAAAGAGGCAGGAGCAGTGCCAGGACAGGATTTAATTCCAGGCAGCAAAGCCTTGGAACAATATCACAGCTGGGTGCTCCATCCCAAGCCATGAGTGCTCGGGGTGTTTTTGTCAGGGGTGCTCAGCTGGACATCTTAAAAGAATGTGGAGTTTAGGAAGGTGCCAAGGTTGGAGCTGCTGAGAATTTGGCTCCTGGAACATGCTCAGATTGATTGGCCAGTGTCTCAATCAATTTTGAAACRTTTTGGTCTTAATTGCCTGAAGAAAACCCACCACAAAGCTGCATATACTGTCAATATAAAAATCCTCATTACCAGGAGGGATGATATAATGAACATCCCATTTATCTTGGGGCTTTGTCTGATAATGAGCAATAATTTTTAAAACACTGGATTTGACAATTTAAAAAAAAAGTGGAAGTTCTTCACTGATTAACACACATGCTGCTAATTGGCCAGTTGAAAATACTGGTTACAAAGGACCTCCCAAAGTAGCAAATCAGAGCTTTTATTTGTTGATACCTACAGTGTTTGATAAAAAATTATATTTATGAATTGTTTCTGTTTGTCAGTCTTCCTAGGAAACATTTTTGTCGACTCAGAACAGCAGTGAAAGCTGAGTTTAATAAAGAAAACATTGCAAGACCAGCCTTTCTTATTCTCTCTGTAAACCTGTTCAGGTAATAACGTTTGTGTTGACTGCTGCTAGGAAAGGGGCTGRGATATTTGTAGAGCCTCTGCAGCATGTTGTCCACACACTTTAAATTGCCTGTTGACTTACGAGAGTTGGGTCGTTTGCCAGCCTGAGACCAAAGTCTTTGTAGGAGATGATGGGGATCAAATTTAATTTCAGTGGGATTTGGCATTAGGTGCCCATTTCCTACTGATTGATTTTTTTTCTAGCAGGAGTTCAGCTGCCCCTTGGAAAACCTCCCRTGTTTTTATAGAAAATAAACTGTGGTGCACAACAAATCCAGGGTTTGATTTGAACAAATTGTTGCGGAACAGGGAGATCCGACAGAATGAGGAGCGCCGTGCCAAGGTGATACCACCCAGAAGCCAGTCCTTGGCACATTGTGACAGTGCTGTGTGTTATTTAAAACCACCTGATGAGTTTGGAAACCTCAGGGGCAAGAAGAAGAGATCCTTTCATCTGTCCTGCTTGTTTTGACCACAGAGATYGGCGTGCAGCAGAGCCACCCCTCGCTGTCACAGCTGAGAAACCATTCTGATRTCACCAAAGTGTATTTTGTTGTAATTTAATAGGGCAAACTGCCCAAAAGGGGCAATAATCAGTATCTCTGAATGAGTTTAGCTAAGGAAATAAGGTGCCGTGCAGGGAAAGCTCTGAGTTTCTGAGAGCAACCACAAGGAGGAGCAGAAATTTGCGGGAGCATCGGATCAGAGCAGAGCCGCTTCTTTCCACACTCACKGAGGAGTTACCAGGCTCAGGAACTCGTGTGTATAGATCGATAACGATAGGAACAGAAAAACGTCTGTCAGTCTCAGCACAGGGTAAAACTGATCACGGGTATCCTGAAAATATTGCAGAACAGCCTTTGGTGAAGTAGAATCACCCAGAGCTTTTGAAAATCTGCAACTTGAAAAATTACAGAAAGAGCAGAAATAGTTTCCATATAGATCCAAGTTCAAGTTGGTCACTCCATAGGAAATGTCCTTTCATGCACTAAAGACAGACCAATAAACCAGATTTCGCTTAGCAAAATGCAGAGGGTAATTCACCTTTTCTAAATTACACAGAAAATACCAGGGAGATGCTCAGCGCTCCTGGAATTCCTGCCTCGACAGAGCAATTCCCTTCTCCTCTAGGAGTAAGTCGGGGTTTAATGCACCACCCGGGCCTCCTGCTGGCATTCAGATGTGCTTGAGCCTCCCCACGATTTTTGGGGAGATGTCTGGGCATCCTGTATGTCCCGGGTGCCGCCGGAGAGCCAAAYCCTGCCCACGCCTGTAGGAGAGCCCAGCGAACACCAGATGCCACTGTTCCCTCAGTGTGCGAAAAACCCTGTTTACAATGCAGGGGAAATATTCCCAACCTTTTCCTGCATGCATCGAGTCTCTCAAGCCTGCAAGAACTGGCTTTCTGTTAAAGGTTGGGCTTTAGACATTCAATAATGACTCTGGCGCTTTCCAGGAGACAGTGGKGAGCCCATCTCTCTTTCAGGGTCTCTGCTCCTGCTTGGAAGTGCCACTTGGCCTGAGGCTGGCTGCTGCAGGGATTAGCATGTTTGCTAAGAGCATTTATTTTTCTAAGTAGAGGGTGATTTTGGTATCCCTTCTTTCAATCAGGAAAGGAAAAATACCGAGAATTCTTTAAAATGAACTATCTGGGTTCACTTGGCTTTCAGATAGCTTTTCCCCTCTCGAATTGACATTGCATTTAGCCAATATTTCATCAGAAAAGAAAGAAAGAAAAAAGGGACTTTTTTTTCTTCTCATTTATAAGCCATAGATATGCTCTGCTGGGGTTTATTTTCATAGAACCACAGGATGGTTTGGTTTAGAAGAGACCTTAAGGGCAAAGTTTTTTCACTCCCTGCCATGGGCACAGACACCTTCCACTATCCCAGGTTGCTCCAAGCCCTGTCCAACCTGGCCTTGGACACTTCCAGGGATGGGGCAGCCACAGCTTCTCTGGGCAAAGTATTTTAACATTTTTGAGTCATGGAGAGCAGCATGGAGAGTTCCCTTCCTCTAAATTAAAGAATTAAGCAATTAAGCATAGTGCAATTAATAGAGATCAGTTGGAAAAAAAAAATCGTTTTACAGACCGTGTTAATTGTGCATGTGCACATGTGGTTTCTTCTTTGCATTCCGAGTTTTCCTAGGACATACATCCTGAATTTGGCAGGATGAGCAAAARAATCGTGGTGCAAAGTCAGCTGTGAGATGCAAGACAGGCAGAAGGTGGCAGTGCAGGTGTTTRGTAAAGGCTGGAGCAGCAGGCACAGGAGACGGAATGCAGTGGCCTGGAAGAAGTCTGGCTTATCCSTTTTACTCGTTATGGATGTAAATCACAGCCTAAGTTCTGATAAATAATGAGAACGGACACGGGAAAGAAAACTGTCATCTTTTAAATTTCAGCTGTAGGAAAAATTACCATTTCAAACTGCTTGGTTTCAATAATTTCCAACTTTAGAAATTCCAACACTTACATACTCTTCCTGCAGGGAAAGCATGTACTTTTCTGGTCTAATGAGGATCAGTAACGTTGAGTGACTGGCCACAAAATAGCTCTCCACCAGCATTCCTTTGAAGACAAGCAACCATTTTTTTTTGTGCGGGGAGTCCTTGTTAAGCAAATTCTGGATTATCAAAACCGTTTCTTTGCCTTACAAATCGCAGACCTTGCGGACAGATCCATAGGGAAGCAGTCCTTGCTCAGAGGAGACAATGGAGAATTCTCTTTTAATAAAGGCCCTAATGAAAGACTGGCATAGCCAAAAGTTTGCCTGTTTTGCCTGTCTTGTTTGGTTCTAATTAAATGTGTCTCCTCTCTTCATAAGCCTTGTCCTTACACCTAAGGAAAGCAGCAGTTTTTTGAAGGGATAATAAATTTGAGTATTTTGTCATATTTAGATGAGGAAAGGGAGACACCATGGAGGCTGTGCCCCAATAATCATTACAAAAGCCCTGCCTGAGGAGAGCCACCAGCACGTCAGGAAGAAGAGAGATTTATGAAAGGATGTGTTACCAAAACTTTATCCCTGCCAGAGTGGCAGCTTTATATCTGTAAAGCTGCTGGGATTCTTTCCACTGGCTTGAACTGGGTTTGAGTCAGACTTTGGAGACACAAACACCAGAGCAAGTCCAGACACCAGTGGAGTCATAAACAAACCTCCTGCCAGCTGCCCATCTACTCCCCTTCTGCATCAAAGTCGCAAAAATAACAAATATGGTTCCTGAGAAGGCATTTTATAAGTGAGAGAGGATCTACCTGTACTTCCCTAAAGAGCAAAGATAAAGCCCAAACCATTTCTCACAGCCAAGAGATCACAAGGAAAATTCAGGTCAGAGAAGACCTCAGGAGGTTCTCTCAGCCAACCTCCTTCTTGYTTGAAATCATCTTTTCTCCCCTTTTGAAAGTGGCAGGAGCAACTTCTATAGAAAACATTGTTGGCATCTGCAGTGTTTCATGTGTCCAAAGCAGTGCTGGTTGGTACAAAGAGAATAAAATTATATTTTGTTTGAATTMAGAAAAGAGAAATAGAAGATCTGTCAAACCCATCTGGAGGGCAGGTTTGGAATGAATTGATCCCTCCACGAAACACTGCTTTGATATTTCTAGCTCAAATGAGGTTTGCTTTGAACATGCATTTCCCAATCCTCTTTAGGTGAAGGAGCTGGAGGGARGAGTGAGGGAGCCTGGGATGGGATTCACTGGCCAGAGGGGTGATCTGCTCAGCAGGGAGACAGCAGCACMCACAGGGTCATGAGCTCCGTGAGCTTTTGGGGATGAAGGGGGAGGAAGGGAAGGGATTGGTGTTACTGCAGTGATGGGGAATTGGCCTGGAATTTGGAAACTCAGCTGCCATTCACAGACATTCCCCATCTGCCTCTACCCCTCGGGTCACCCAAGAGCAGGATGGGGACATGGTGCCTCCTAGAACTGGTAAAATGCTCTCCCTGTGCTGGAGGTATTGTCAAGGTCTTGATATTCCTGCATGTGTCTTCAAGCAAAGCTTTGTATCTCTAAAATGTTCACAATGCTATTATCCAAAAGACTCTGCTATAACAATTTCAAGATGTTTTGCTTCAACTTTGACTTTTTTTTTTTTTTATAATGCTCTCCAGCTTTTTAATATAAGCCAAATAAAGCATTGTTTCTATCCAGAAAATAACATTTCAAATTTAGWTCACAGCAGTGCTGAACCAGTTGGGTTCTTTCTAAATTCAGGGGAATACCTATTCCCCCAAATAGTTTCAATTCTGATAAATCAGAATTTCCAGACAGGATATCAGTTCGTTTAGTTTTAAGTTTAGTTTTAAGTGCTAACCCTGCCCAGTACATAATTCTTTTTGTGATCTGCTTGGGGATGCACTAACACAGTGTGCTGCGCAGCTGTCAGGAGCATCCCAATTATTTTTCCAGTGAAAATTACATCTCAAAACCAAAGGGAAGGGCATCTTTTAATAATTTTGACTATGTTTAAATGAGATCACCAAGAGAGGCTATAGCTCTGCACAGACATGTGCAGGCATGCCGAGGAATTTGGCTTGCCTGCAGTTTATCTGTCCCAATTAGAGGCAGATGCAGCTTTTGCTTCCATGGACATTTATGAACTGGCAGATGTGCTAACGCACAGCAACTGGTCCTGATATAATCACACACATTCTTACAGCACTCTTTGGCTCCAACATGCCCAACTGCACGAGTATTTTCAGTTTTCCTTCCTATCTCCTCAGACAAGATGTGGTGCAGAAATCACCCAAGTTAGGGTAATCACGCAGTTTGCAGTTTGTGTCACTTCTTCCCAGAGGGGAATTACAGGATGCACAGAGTGGATGATACTCCAATTTTGCTTTGCAGATGAGAAGGAGCTTCCCTGGACTACGTGGAAACGCACTGGGAATGCCGGTGAATGGCTCAGAAAGCCCAGCAGGTACTGAAATCTTGCTCAAACATCCAAGGAGTTGCACTGGAGCTGAACACCACAATTCCCATGTCAGGTGCCTGGTGAAGCTGCCCTGGCGGTGGCTTGGATGGAATGGGTGTCCCTGGGGACAGCAACACACCAACWACTCCCTGGCAGCCCTGGTGTCACCCACAAACCCAATTGGACCCCAACCCACATCAGAGGTCAAACACYGTCACAAATGCAACTCCTCTCGCTATTCCTTGCTCCTGGTGCAGCAGCAGTGCACAGAAAGCTCCATTTCCAGAGGCAAATAGCCAGCCCATGGATCTGGCCCCCTGGATGTGAGCCAACACAAACCCCTCCAGGCAGAGCTGCCAGACAAGCAGGATGTGTCAAGGTACGCTCTGTGCAGTTTTTGCTCCTGTGCTCATAAATGCCTCTTGCTAATGC